GTCGTCCGTTTCCTTTCCCTTGACCTTTCCCTTTTCCTTTTGCATGCTGTTTTGGTTGAGGTGATGGTAGAACTGGAGCTGCCTCAGCCTTGGCCTTCGCCTTAGGTGCTGCCTTCTCCTTGGGAGTGGCTTTAGCCTTCGCTTTCGGATTGGCATCTGGTGCAGCAGCAGTTGGATTTGGTGCAGGAGTAGTGGGTTTGCCACCACCTGCAAATTCTCTTGCGTACTTCTCTCTTGCGGCCACATGCTTGTCTTCTCTGATCCTGGATATGTGCCTTTCGATGACGTCCAACAGGTAACGATAGCTTCGTCTTTGATCTCCTTCAATCCATGATTCATACTGCTTGATGTCGAACATCATGAGACTCGAATTTCGAATCTTCTTGTACAAAGCGTCACGAAGCCAATCATCAGGAGGTACATCATCCGGCATCATATTTGACACCATCTCCATCCACTTCTCGTAGAACACTTCCAGGTTGGAGTCACCGAGATACTTCATCGATACGATGTGCTCCATGGTGAAGGCCGTTTCTCGTTGACCTGGTGTCCTGAAGTGTTCCAGAACCATAGCCAAAATTTCACGTCCCATAACATAGGTTCCTCTTCGACTATGACTCTGCGTTCTCAATCTTAGTTTAATTGCTACATGACGAGCAACATCACCGGCTTGGGCTATCACGTTCGACAATGCGATTGATAACTTGGCGTCAATTGACTGATATCGTTGCCCACCACTGTCATTCAGTAGCTCGATGTCAGGATTTGGTCGAATAGCCGGCTGTAGCCACGCTTCCCATGCAGCTTTGTCTCCCATGGCAAGAACAACACCCTTGATGAGATCTGACTGCCAAACCCCAAGGTTCTGCTGCTTCGGCCATGGGCTAACATAGACTTTGTCAGCCTCCCGTCTCGACATTCTCGGTACTTCTTCTGCCGTGTACGCCGCTGTGGAGATATCGTCTGCTGAATCACGTTGTGATCCCCGAATTGAAGGCAAACCAGGAGGTTCTGGAGGTGGTCCTGGACCGTTGGGCCCGAAAGGATCAGGAGGCCCATCAGGGTCAGGCGGACCGCCCCATCCGCTCGGAGGCTTGTAATAGTCCTTCTCAGTTCCATCGGCGATCTTGTTGTCAACTTCCTTCAGCAGATCGGTGATTCTTTTGTTCGATTGAGAAGGTTGCTGTTGAGAAGGTCCAGCATGTCCGCGATAGGATTGAGCAGCATTTGTCTCGTAGGTCAACTCCTTGTCGATCTGCGATACCCAAGATTTTAGGATAGCGTTCTCAGAGTTAGCCTCACTCACCTCATTCTCCAGCTTGTCGATGACCAGTCTTGATGCGAGATCATAGTTGGGGATACCTGCCGAATAGGGAAGCGCATCAGGGTTGACCCTGGACATAGATGTTTCAGAATCCTTGAGACTCTTTCTCAGTTCATCTATGTGACGTTTCATGTCAATAATTTCAGAATTCTTCATACCAATCTTTTCATCCCTATCCTGAATTTCCCCCATGAACATGCATGATCTCTCATATTGCTGAACACCACTAGCCAATTTCATTTTGCGCTCACTTTCTAGTTCAGATCTTAAAGTTCGGACTTCAGCATTGGAGAAGGACGACGCCCCTACATCCGCAACTTCAGTCAATCTTTCTTTTAACAACATGTTCTCCTGTAAACATTCATGAACTTCATGGTCTAGATCCTGAACCCAGATTTGAGCAATTTTGGCTTGGTTCCGTAGATCTTCAACAAGCATCTCATCAGGGCCACGACCGTCGGTCGTAGTGCCCTGAGTCAATGATCTTCGCAACTTCACGTTCTGCAATTTGATCTCATCCTTCAATTCACAGTTCATCTCCTGCTCGTTGGCGTAGAGCTCTTCATAGTGCTCTGCCCTCGCGATCGCATTTGCACTAGCCTGTGATTCAAGCCTCAGGTGTGATATCGCTTCGGCCTCGTGGTTCCTGTATGATGCAATTCTTCTGACAGTATCATGTTCAGTGTTTCGGTGTTTCAGATCACTTTCCAATTTGGCCTGATTTGCCTCGAAAACCTTCTTTCTGGATTCTCTAGTGATCTCTTCAATACTGCTTTCATACAACTCGGCCTGTTTACGAGACTGAACTAGAGCTTCACTTAATAGCTGATTCCGTTCAGACAATTCACGAACTGCAATTGATTGTTGTTGGCTAATCATTTCAAGTTGGTTGCTTGAGAAGGATGCCATTTCGGATCGATTACGATATTCCATGATTGAGTTCTGGAAATCCGTCTGCATTTCTTGACCTTCAGTGTACAATCGATTGGCAATATCGGTAGTTAAGACATTGGTCTGATGAAGTTGTTGCAGTCTTGCCTCCGTATTACCCAATAGTCCTTGAAGGTGATGTACTTCATCCTTGTACTCTTCCTGGATCTCCATACCGCGTTGATGGATCCGTCTTGCACCGTGTTCCATCAGAGCACCTCGGCGTTCAAGGTCTTGGATGCGTATTGTTGCACCTTCGTCTTCCTGAGATGCTACCATTAGTTCTGCTTGATACTCTGCAACCTCATTTGCGGAACATGACAATCTATGATTGAGTGCATTGACCTCATCAAACACATTCTGGTTGTGTTCCTGAAGATATTCAGTGAATCTGATCTCGATGTCATGAATCAGTTGATCCCTTGATGCAGCATATGCTTCCATGTTGTTCAACTGATTACGTAAGGATTGACATTGTGCCCGTAGTTCTTCTATCATGGCAATAGGTTCACTAGCCACAGAAGTATCCGTTGATCTCCTCTTAACGCGAGTGTCCCCGGTCCTCTCACCAATTCGGTCGGTTCCGGCCCTGGTGGATCTGTCCCTTGGGGTAGTTCGTCCTCGAGATGGTCGATGCCCTTGACGGACAACATCACTTCGAGCACTGTTTCGAGAAGATCTTGGTGTACTTTGGGTAGATATTCTTCGTCTGTTTGATGTAACTTGCCATCCGGACTGTGTAGTTCGGGTAGAGCGTATCCCACCACTGTCTGCCGTGTCGCTAGGGGAAGATTGAGTGACCTCCTCGACCGGCATAGCAATGTTCTCATTGAAGGTAAACTGCGTGTTGCGCGAGTCCCCGCTGCCGCCCTGCATCTTTGCGATGATGAGCTGATTGGTCCTTTGCGTCCACAATCTTAAGCTCTGACGGCCCGGCCACCAGCACGCAGGTACTCCTCTTCCGACGGAAGAAGTGAGCCCTTACGGCTGATAACCTGTGAGCAATTTGATCCTTGTTCTGGATTATCCCTTTTGATTGAAGTACCCTTTGTGCTGGAAATGCTGGGCAACGTCACGGCATGGCACTCGGAGACCGATCTTTTTACTCACGCATGATCTTGAGCCAATGTAATTGGCGGTACATGCATAATTGTTTCCTACCCTACATGCTCTGCATGTTGAGTGACTGTGTGGTCTAGTTCCCTTTCGCACTTTATATATATATTCTATATATATATATTCTATATATATATATATAATCTATATATATATTCTATATATTTACATATACTGTATATATATTATTTGTATATACTGTATATATATCTAATATTATATCTCTATATATACTGTATATATATACTAGAATATATTGTATGTATTCATATATATATATACACACTGTATATATATATATACACTATATTAAAAATAAGGGTATAATACTGATGATGATGATGATGATGATATGTGATGATAATAATATCATTAACAACCATATCCAGGGAAAACGAAGGGAAAATGATGAGTAATGTATATGAAGTAATGTTGGGCAAGACTGGTTGCCATTAACAACTAGCATTTGGTGGGGCTTATGGCATTGGGTTTACCAGATACCAAACCCCCAAGTGGATAGAAAAGCTGGAAAACTTCATGGAACCATCTTGGAAGCACTTGACTTGTTCGGCATCTGGTTGGGGATTACTCTCAAAGTCATTGAAGATTGCTAAAAATCTTATTTCTATGGTGAAATATTTTTACATCTTTGAAATCAGCAGACATAGATGGTAGAAATCCATGGGTTGTGGGAAAGGGACCTACAAACTGTGGTGGTTCTGGTCCATGTCTATGTTAAAACAACTTTCCGAAGATTCCAACAGCGGGCAACCAAAGCTTGCCAAGAGTTCACCACTCAAAAGCCCAAAATCTCCAAATGGTAACTCCTCCACAATTTGAAGCAAACCAATCAACTGGGATTTTGATGGATTTTGTGGAACATCTTGCCGCAATAATTCTCCCAATTTCAGAAAATCCCCGAACGGATTTTTTTTGTTCGAAGGGACTCCTCAGAATCCTCCATGAGCTTCAAGTTGTCCTCGGACCCGGTTCGCATGAAACAAAAAAGATTATGGATGGTTTGATCATGATTACGTTACAATATAATACGATATAAATATATATGGATGGTTTGATCAGTTTGATCATGCAGTGTTTGGCTGTATATTCTGATGTATTCTGTTTATTTTGGAGGCAAAGATGAAATACGAGTAGCAAAAAAGAAGTCACTGGGTCAACCTGGGGTACCTAAGAATGAGAATGCTCACTATTTCTAGCAATGACCAAAATCTACCCAAAAAGGTCGTAAATCTGGACCCATGCCTTTTTTTTCCCTCAGTTTCCCCCCTTGTTGCTATTCCATCATCATCTGCCAGATCTGAAATGTCATAAATCTTATGGATTTCTCGTATTCATCAGAGAGCAGTCTGAAAAATCGAGAATTCATATCACCCCATAGCCGTTGGAATGAATCTCGAATCCGAAAAAATGGTGCTTTCAAAAGCCTTCCTTCAGAACGATTTTGTAAGTCAGACATCATTATCATCATTCTCCCAACTTAAGGGTCCGGATGTTTGTCAATTCGAAAACCATATAGAATCGGTTGAAAACCATGTTTCAATTCGAAAACCACATTTAAAAAAAAAAAACATATAAAAACCACCTTGAGCAGTGTCCATGACCAAGCAGCATAGACCGGTGCCGGTGGAGGGTTTGGAACCTTCTCCAAGGCCTCACATAGCCATTGAAAATGGCCATAGAAATGGTTGATTTAGCTAGTAAAAATGGTGATATTCCATAGTTTTTCGTATGTTTACCAGAGGGTAACCCACATTCATCCAAGAAAAACATGGGAGGGGTTGAAAAAACGCCTCCAAACTTGGGACGAAAAATGGGCGAAGTCAAGCCTGGTTCCGTTCCAAGAGTTCTTCAAATTTTGGCCCTTGAAGTCACCCGTCTTCCGAGACCCGAAACCTCGAAGGTTCCCTCGCAATCGGCATCGTGCGCGGAGTCCGACACTTCCTCCCAGTCCCTTAGAGATCTGAGTTCAGCCCAGTCATCATCGATGTTACCCTCTGGTAATTTAACATAGCTATTGAAAATGATGATTTATAGTGGATTTTCCCATGAAAAATGGTGATTTTCCATAGTTACGTTAGTTTACCAGAGGGTAACCCTGAATTTTTGGATATTTACCCAATAAAAATCAGGAACTCAATTAGCGAAGAGATTCAACCAACTCTACTTGTGATTTACCCAACAAAAAAAGTATGTGGTTCGCCAAAATTGATCTGGTTGGTGGTGCAATAACCATCTTGAAAAATATGAGTGCGTCAATGGGAAGGATGACATCCCATATATGGAATGGAAAATAAAATTCATGTTTGAAACCACCTACCCCTCTGAAAAAATATGAGTTCGTCACTTGGGAGTATTATTCCCAACTGAATGGAAAGTCATAAAATTCCATGGTTCCAGTCACCACCAACCAGATGGGATGGTTTACAATCCTATAAAAATGGCGTCATTGATAATCATTACATGACACTTGTTTTACAATCCCAATGATATATGATGGAGATATGGAGCTGCGCCCTGCGAAACGGTGCATTGCTATGTTGCTTGGGGATGGAATCCCACCCCCCCAGAGGTGACTCTTGGGTTGCAAAGCTCCATGGCTTAGTTCAATCATTTGGAAAATCGATGAACCTATGTTTTGACCTGCATGAATATGGATTCTAACCGCGCGGGTTTGCCTGAAAATAGGGACCATATGCCCCAAAATCCACAGGTTTATCATCATGTTCCAATGGTTTCAACATCTTCGCATGTTTAAAACGAAAAAAAAGAGGCATACCATCTGGTTATTTAACATAGCCATGGAAAATCACCATTTTTAATAGGTAAACCATCTATAAATGGGTCATTTCCCATGGCTATGTTAAATAACCAGAGGGTACATCCGTCAGACACACCACCATGCACCCGTGATTGCGGCCGTGGCACTCGTCACTAATGACCTGACAAGCACCCCGGTTTGTTCAGCAGGCCGGAACTCCCGTTGGTACGGTTGAACACAATAAATATTAGTGAAATCCTCAACCAAATTTTTCGAGACCAAGGTCCAACAGGCTGCAAACTGCAGACTATAGATATATTGTACATACACATCATATGTATACATATTATATAGATATATTTCAATGGCCATTTCAGGAACCTAAATTGGAGGTACTTACCATATAAGGCCTATTTTTCAGGCCTAAGTAAGGGAATATCCCCGCAAAATATGGCCAAAAAAATTAGGCTACTAACGTACCTCCATTTTAGGATCCTGAAATTCCCATTGAATATTGTACATATATATATATATGCATATATCATCATATATCATGGATATGGAACTTCCACTGAACTTCCACCAGCCGTAGCCTGCAGGGCGGATGCAGACAACTCGTCCAAGACCTTCATGTCCTGCGAAAAAAAATGGCTACCTGCGGACAGACCCATTGATTCAAAAAATTGTTCCCCCCCAAAAAAAACAAACAGATGCGTGACACAACAAAACATCAACATTTCAGTTCCATGAGGTATAGAAGCAATCAATATCCAGCATCCTATCGATTTTTTATTTGGCAGGTCCTTCTTGGCTTCACGACAAGAGCTCAAGAGACTCTCCGAAATGCGACCTTGGGTGATAGCTAAAGGACAGTGAACCCCGATATATTTGGATTCCTTGGCAGATCAGGCGGATTTGCCAATGGCCAACAATCACCAAGATATGTATAATTAATATATTAATATATATATATATATACATTGATACAATGTATATATATATATAGATATATATAGTAGATTCAAACAGTTCATGGCGATATATAATGGGGATAGAACAGACTGACCTGATTGGTTGGATCTGAACCACAGGATGGTAGGCTTGGGCCGAGTGAATCACCAAATTTCCGGGTGGCGAAAGATCCTGAATCTTGGGTCATAAACCCATGAATCTCCCGTAAAAGACGTATGTTTGATCGGTATAGATCAACAAATCCACCATTTTTGACATAAAAAGTTCAGCAGTTGATCGTCCAACTGCTGGTTGATTCATGGTGAAATGTCAACATCAAGAAGAATCCAACTCTTTGGAATATCTTCAGCCCACATGGATTCATCTCGACTTCTACATTTCGCCAATCTATCTCACATTCTGACCAAAAAAAGGGACAGAGAAATGTCGCAAAAGTATAGCCCCATAGCAGTTACATGCAGTTACTAAGATATGTTTGTCAGTGTTTTTTCGCCCATAGCAAAAGATAGCAAAAGATACATCCAGTGACTAAAGCGACTAGCCCATCCAGTCGCTGACCACATATCGCCACTGGTTATTGCCCAGCAGCTTGCGGCCACCAGGGCAATGTCTTCTCCTCCCATTTTCTTGAATAAGATCAGGTGCAAAAACCATGGATGGGACGGTAGGGTTAGTTGTTTTAAGATGTTTTCCTGGTTGGTGGGATACCTACCCCTTTGAAAAATATGAAAGTCAGTTGGGATGATGACATTCCCAATATATGGAAAGTCATAAAATTCATGTTCCAAACCACCAAGCAGTAACTGTTTTAACCAAATCATATCCCATTGTTTCTCCCGAATCATTAGGGGTCATGCATGTCGTTCCAGTCAACGAAAAGCGGACCCTACTAAAAATCCCATGGGCTTTCGCTACGAAACACGGTTTACAAATGGGGACCATAGCTATGTGAATTGACTTTCCGCATGGCCATCGACTCAGGATGGATCACATCCGCGCGCCACTTCCGCCATCGGAAGGTGTGAGAAGGGGCTCACTTCTGTAAGTTGGTTTACCCCATCTAACCCAGGATGGGCCCCCAGTTCGTGAACGCTAAGTTGGGCAATGTAACTATACTAACAATAGTGTTTGATGCTTATAAAATCGTATAAATAAATATGGTTAGATGGGGTGATAAACCAACTTGTAACTAGGGGGCCCCATCCTGTACCTACATCATCCTACATCCAAAATAAATCCAATGGTGCTCCGGTTGAATTGGTCGCAAATAACGAGACGTGAACCATTGGGTTTATGGTAGATGCAGAGTGATATGTGGAGGTTTCCATAAATGGGAGAACCCCTCAATCATCGATGTTATGTTCGGATTTTCCATGAAATAAACCATCCAGCGATAAAGGGGTACCCCATGACTATGGAAACCCCCATTAAATGTTTGGATGGGTGAACATCAACCCTTGGCTTCGGCGGCAGCACCTTGGAACTCAACAATCATCAGCTACATCCCCATGTATTTGAAGCCTCAAAAAATCCAACTAAAAACATGGACTGGTTGGCGGTTTCAACCATCTTGAAAAATATGAAAGTCAATGGGAAGGATTATCCCATATAATCATAATGGAAAATAAAAAAATGTTTGAAACCACCAAACCAAAAAAACACATATCAAAAAAAATATCACACCCGCAGAAATGATGATGAAATCCCGGTGGAAAAAGCCTCTATTTTCACTGGAGCTTTTTCAAATGAATCAGTGATGCTCTGGAAAGTGACCCTTTCGGAGCTGCACCTTGCAGCACCTTCAGCGAGCTTCTGGCTTTTTCACCTTGGACAACGTGGTGCCCCAATTGTAAATTGATTGGTTTAAGGGAAAAATTACAGGAAGGCCTCATATTTAATGGGAAAATCTATGGTTGCCTGTAGATTTTGCCTTAAACCAATCCATTGAATGTTAACTAGTTCGTTACATCCCCCTAATCAACCCAACAGTTCAGCCAGTTGTGGTCAGCAACTTGGCTAAGTAGGGGGTACCACCTTGTAAAATATACCCGGTTGATAGGAACATATACTATATACTAAATATAATGTACCAATTGAGCCACTAAAAAAGGACTTAGCTCACTACTTGGGGTTGCATTTGGGGTGGTTCATGTGCAAAATTGGTAGAATCTGGTAGAATCTGGTAGAACAATGGGAATTTAAGCCCCCATAAGGTGGGATATAACCCTTATTAACTATGATGAAACCCATTTGGAGCATACCCCAAGTCTCACTTGTGAACACCCAAATTCTGCGCTTCGGAGGATCATCGACAGATCGGAACTGGTTAGTAAGCCTGGTATTCAATGCAAATCCGGATCTGGTTATGAAATAGTTGGCTAATTCATCTAGGCCCGTCTAGGCCCAGTTCTTCTTGGTAAGACTAAGATTCTTTTTGCCGCTGCAATCAGTTGCTACGGGTAGTGTTCAGAAAAACTTCGTGTATTGGTCTATGGTCAAGTTCACAGTTTCCCAAGTACGTGCGTGACTACCACCCTCCAATAATTTGTTGCAGTTTGCCATGGAAAATGGATGAGAATAGCCAATTTAGTTCGACGATTTATGAATCAAGCAATACTGAACATAGTGATTTTGAAAAGGGCTCATTTAGTTCGATGATTTACCAATCAAACAATATAAAACATTGTGATTTTCCATAGCTATGTTAAATTACCTGAGGGGTTAACTTGGTTTGGCCCATTCTGGATTTGCTTCTAATCTCTAGCAACTCGGTTAATTCCCCATCGGTTGGATACACGCATGCGCAACTTGAAAAACCGCCATCAAATCCAGGTTCCGCCTGGTAATCAAAAAATGGCTGGAAAATCCCCCCGATCCTTTTTTCTTAATGGAGGTATGAATGGGAAAAAAACATACCCTCTGGTTATGTCAAAATAGCTATTGAAAATGACCATAGAAATAGTGGATTTTCCCATTAAAAATGGTGATTTTCCATAGCTATGTTAGTTTACCAGAGGGTACATACATAGGACATAGGCCATGTTCCATTGCCACCTTGGAACCCCAAATGTTAAATTCTGTAATTTTCTGTATCTCCAGCCTGAAAAAATTGCTCCGGCTTGGAGGTCTTGATCAGACCTAGGAACAGAGATCCTTCCACATGCCATCATGACCAGATGGTTGCTTGGAACAGATCGCATCCTTGGGCGACAATCCGCTCTGAGAGTCTTGGGGGAATGTCATGATGCCATCAACCCAACCAACCATGGCTGTTTTAAGATGGGGAAAAAAATGGATCAAATCCCATTGCTCGGGCTATACCCAAGTTTATACACAACCAATTGGGGATCGTTTGCTATTGGGTTTATCACACTAGTGACATCTATTGACCATACCACCTGGTTCACCAGAATCCACCTGGTTCACCAGGTTTGTTGACTTGGACCATGAACTGACGGTCAAGCATGTGCGAAAATGATCGTAATTCACCAACCTAAAATAAAGCCATTTGGTGTAATTTATTGAAGCCATGGCCCATTTAGTTCGATGATTTATGATGATTTACCTTTTAAAAATGGTGATTTTCCAGTTCTACCTCTTAAATAACCAGAGGGCATAAGATAAGACGGGTGGTTGTAAAACTTCCGAAGCGCCAAGTCTAAGAGGAGACCCTGCATTTTCGTAAGAGCTGGTTAGTTCTCTCATAGTTTCGGACAATAGAAAATATTTTTATTTAAAAAAAATGTGCTAAACCATCCATCCAACTCCAGACCATTATGACAATTCTTGCTTTGCCTCGGTAGCATTAAAGGAATCAATTGTACCGAAGGGATAGAATTGGTCACCTTGTAGAAATTCCAGACTGCTATGGTGAATTGACAGATCTGCAAGTGTTATCCCATTTGCTTCACATGTGTATCTAATTCGCAAAGAGGGCCGGCGGCCAGTTTTTTCGTTGCCAATCTGAACGACGCCCTGCAAAAAAAGTCGGTGCCCCTATATGTGGGGGTTTCTAAAAAACTGGGGGATCCCAAAAACAATGTGTGTCAATACTAAACTGGTCTAATGACTTGTATGATTTGGGGCACCCCTGTTGCAGGAAACCTCCATATGTCCCCATTTGCTCGATAGATTCTTGGTGACCAAAAAAATCCCATCCAGTCGGGTACTCCCAGAGCCTGGCGCTGCAATACTAACCTTCAGCGGGGTATTTGGTAAATCCACCAGTAAATCCATCGAAAAAACACCCCAGCCATCCCCCTCGGAATTCCACTACCCTGTTCAGGGTCTGCTTTTCAAGTCAGGTCCGATGCCCTTTCTGAGAACCCACAAAAAGTGAATGTGGAACTGGGCCTCGAAAAAAAAATCCCATGCGATTCCCTTTTTGGTTGCCTATCCCCATCTATTCTCAACAAAAAACCCAATGATTTGCCCTGAGATCCCCACCCGACTTAGCCTTGGTCTATGGTAGGTGAACTGTTGGCTTTTCCTGGTAGATTTTTCAAACATTAACCATCATTAAGCAACAAACACATTAAAAATACACGAGCTCGCAGCAGCAAAGTCCCCATTCCTTCCATTCCAAAACCAAGCTACTAAGCCGAAGTCCTTCTTCAACTTCTTTCGCAAGATTTTGCCCGTGCCATACTTCAGCTTATAGGCATCGTAGTTCTCCTGTCGATTCGCCAAGGGTTCATCCTTGACGGATCTCTTTTGGGCAGTTGCAGTGAACTAGTTGTGGATCATATCTGATATAACCATAGTTGTGGTGGTTAATGTCAACCCTGGATGAATAAACCCCTAAAACGGCTGTTTAATTGGGAGGCTACCATTTATGTACCATATAAAGTGACTATTTGGAGGGTACCCCCACAATTTTCATAAACCATGGTTTATTAATCCGGGGTTGACATTATATCATATCCCAACTCATGGTGCTGAGGTCACCATAGTTATACCATGTTATACCTATTAACCCCAAGTGAACTATCCATTTTTTCACAGCCTCTGGTAAGCTCCAAGGCCGCGAAATCCCCGGCATCTCTAACCCCCGGCATCTCGATCCCTACAGGATGGGACTCCCTAGTCATAAGTTGAAAAAAATATAACCCCGTCTAAACATATTTATAAGCATCAAACACTATTGTTAGTATAGTTACAAACCAACTTAGCGAACGAACTGGAACTATGGGGCCCCATCCTTTTTTTGTTTTGTTGCTTAAACCCGCATTGGTTGTTGCTTGACTCCCACAGCGGTGTCATCAGTTCGCCTCCTTGGCCTTCGCGAACTCCTCAATGCGATCCAGCACGGGACGCACGCCCTTGCCTCGAGGACAGGGCTGGGAAAAATATGGGGAGAATATGGGAATACATGGAGAATATGGGGAGAATATGGGGAGAATAATATGGCGATAGTTGCCGAAAAAAAATAATACATAACTTTTAGGTGAATTAGCTGAGATAATGATCATATAGCTGGGATAATTGTGGATAACATGCGGGATAATGATGTAAACATAGACTTAAGAAATAGCAACTTAATGTAACTTTAAGGTTGGTTCGAAATTATGTAATTTTCATGCTGATCAATGGATTCGTTTGAGAAACTGATCGCAAGATAGAATTTGGTAAAATCAATTCCTGAAATAGTGACAAGTATCGATGTTCAGCATCGTTTTGGGAGTGACTACAATTGAAATATATCGGGATAAGCAACCGTACACTGTACTGGGATATCATTGGGCAATGTCATGGAGATAGCATGGGAATATGATGGGAATACAATGGGATAACCAAATCTAAGGATATCATGGGGTTCCAACCGGCCAGAAGGTCAAGGAGAATCGAGATCATTTACAAGATTTCACTCGCCTGAATAGTTCGGCTATATTGGGATAGCTATCCGTTACATTCACAAGCTCAGTCCAGGGAGGTCGCGACATGAGGTTGTGATCAAAATTCATCCAGATTTTAAAGGATTTGAGATCGACATAGACGGATCAAGCAAGTGAAATGGGATTTTTTTTGTGTGTGTGTGTCTCTGACCTGAAAGTGGAAATTATCCGCCACTTGTTTAACCCACTTGCATATTCAACATTGGTCAATCCCAAGATTCCAGGCCACATGTCAAGACAATCTATATATATCAAAATTGGGCTGCTATCATCATTGAGATTATGGAAACAGCCATAAATTGGGGCTCATTGAAACAGCCATAAATTGGGGCTCATCTCCCATTCTGCCCTTTCCCACAGTTACACGTTGCTTTATAACCCCATCTGCGTATGGCTATATCCACCAAAATCCGTCAGTTGGTTAGATATAAACCAACCGACCTATCTTTTGTGGGTTCCTGGTTGCAGTGGACAACTGCAAACTTTGAACACCTGAACCACCCTTCGTCACCCCTGAGAAGCCAGGCTGTGGTAGAGCCGCGGCACGATGCGTGCAGCGAAGTTTCGGTAGGAGGCCTACAAAGTGTCAATCAGATTTTCAGCAGCAAAACATGTTGGGTTTATGTTGGCCCAACATGGGGATTCAATCGGCAAAATGTTGATGTATGTTGCTAGTAAGAAGAATTAGAAGTGGCCAAGAGTAGAATTTCGCCCACCTTTGCAAATTGTCAGTATCTAACCAACAAAAATACACAGAAATGAATGAGTACCTAAATTTGACTCCCACCCTTGTGGGTGCTACCATCGATTCTGACCAACCTGTTTAAGCCAGCCACGTACGTTGTGAGTTCCCTATCCCCGGTTCTACGTACGGAACATGTTCCAGGACAGTGGGAGATTTTCCCAAACCTTGGCTTTGAGGCATCACCATCATCAATGATAATAACAATCATTATGCTAATAATAAAAATGAATGACAGTGATAACAATGATAATAATTCATAATAATAATGATAATGATAATAATAATGAGAATGAGAATGAGAATTGATGAACTGCCACTTCACCATTTGATGTCTTTTTGCATGATTTCCATTTGAGCTGCATTTGAACATATCCTGATCTGCAGCTGCCCCTTTCAAGCATTTGACAATTCGCGACTTGAAGGAAAACACTGAGGAGCTGTTGCATTTCGCACCTTGCCTGCACCTGCCGACGAGCAGGTTATGAGCCCAACGACCTCTTGGCTCTGAGATGATGCAGAGGAGGAGGGCAACAAAAGAAGAGCTCAAACAAGGAGCTGAAGAAATTCGGCAGGCTGATGCAAGGATGAGGACAGAAGCGGCAGCGTTGGGTGAGGAGCCAATAGAAGATGTAAAAGCAGATGAAGGGAAGTCAGAACAAGTAATGGAAAGCCTTGAATATGGACCCCAACAAGTGGAAAGGTATGTAGAAGAGCCCCCAAAGAATAGCCCAGAAGTAGCCAATTCAGGATCAAGACCAGGTGTCCCAAGCACACCACCGCCACCACATCCTCCTGAGTTGGAGGTGAAATCTGCGGGTCTGCAAACACCAGGTCAGACCAGCACTGCCAGGAAATCTCCCGAGGTCAGGAGCTCTGTAGTTCAGCAGGATGAGAAGGCTGCTGGATCGGCTCTGTCTGATCGACTTCGAGAGGACGTTGCAACCACGCCACTGTTCACTGAGGAACAAGCCAGGACCTTGAATGAGTTGCATGATAGGGCACCATGGCTGTACCAATCAGGACGGTCGGCATTCTCTCCATATCTTCATAGGCCTGCTTTCTTAGAGCATGAAGAGGATAGGCTTAGAGAAGGGTTGTCAGAGAGGGAACGCCAGTTGCAATATATGAGAGATCGGTTGTTTCAAGAGCAGAACGAAAAAGAAGAGCTGAAAAGAGCAGTTTCGTCAGTCTTGGAGGACAATCAACGCATGAAAGTTCGACTCCAGGACTTGGAAGCAAAGGTGAGAGATCCTGAGCAGAAGTTTTCGACTCCGGAAGGGTCACAGAAGCAGGAGGCCGAGACCACCAAAGAACCCCGAGGATCAAAGGAGGCTGAGACCACCAAAGATCAAAGAACAGGACCAGAAGCCGAAGCTTCCACCTCGGCACATCATGAGCCGAGACCAGAGGGAAGCGGAAGCCTGACTGAAAAGTTCATGCTTCTCATGATGGAGTCTATGAAAGAGATGCAGAAGAAGTACCTAGAGAGCAAAGATGAGGCTGGAATGGTCAGAGGAGTAGAAGTGGTCAGAAGTGGAGCACCAGAGCTTCCACCCTTGCCGGCATGGAACCCAACGCAGGGCCCCTTGCAACTGGGAGATTGGCTTCTACTACTAGAACCTTTGGTTGCTGACATGTCTGCCACGTCCGAGTTGTGGTGGAGCCTCATGTCAACAGCAGCAGAACAATGGTACCACAAGCATACAGCCTTGTCACCCCTGGACAGGATTCAGCACCAAGCATCTCCGCCGTCCAATGTCCAGCTTGACAAGTGGCAGCGGTTAGAGAGGAGGATGTCGGCGATGCTACTCCAATCAATCCCGGAGATGATACGGGATGAACTTGTGGCTTCACGACGTTTGAGCGTCTTTGGCATCCTGACTCATCTCTACACCGTCTACTGCCCTGGAGGTGTCTATGAGAAACAGACCCTCCTCAAAAGCTTGGAAGAACCAGTGGAAGTTACTTCGCTGACAGAAGCACCGGCGGCCATCAGGAAATGGTTGAGGTGGAGGAGAAGAACAGAGGAGATCGGGGCAGTGGCTCCGGACCCAGCCTTGTTGCTGAAGGGGCTGAATCGCTTGACGCGCAAGGTCATCGAGCCGAACAAGGAGCTGCAGTTTCGCATCTCGATGGTGCGTAACAGCCTGGGGGTAGACACAACCCCCACAGCAGTGACAGTTGGTCACTTTGCCACACACCTCCTGGCAGAGATCGAGCAAGTCGCCCTCACAGAGAAGCGATCAGCACCAGCAACGAGAACAGAAGCACCGAAGTTGAAGGCCTTTGAGGTTGACAAGGCCGACAAAGGAAGAGCAAGGACTTCAGAGAAGCAAGCAGAAGAAAGCACAGGCAAGCCAAGATGCAAGTTCTACCTCAGTGAGGCTGGATGTCGGAAAGGAAAGCAGTGCACCTACTCTCACGACGTCAAAGACGAGAAAAGACGCTGCTGGACATGTGGCGCTGTGGATCACATGGCATCGTCATGCACAAGACCCAAGTCCACCTCAGCTGAGAGCAGTCCCACAAGGCCGAAGGTCATGAAGATCGAGGGGGAGGAGAAGACACCTTCCTCAAAGGAGACAGATGCCCAGTCTTCGGCACCTTCTGAGGTGTCAATGAAGGAGCTCATGGAGGAGGCAAACAAGATGCTCAGATCGTTGTCCTCTTCTGGAGGAGCCCCATCACCACCAACAAGCCCTACTTCAAAAGAGGAGGATGCCAAGACTGAACTGATGGAGAAGCTACAGCAGCAACTCAACAGCATGAAGCTCAAGACACTGCGTTTGGGACGGATGTCAACAGAAGGAAGCCAAGGCCTCATTGACAGCGGGGCCACCAATCCACTACGTCCCAAACGATGCGGCGAAAGGATTGAGCACTACAAGAAGCTAGAAGTGTCCCTTGCAGATGGGACCACAACCAGACTTCCAGTCTCTCCAGGAGGGGCGATGGTGAGCGCCAACGACAATACGGAGCCGATCGTTCCAATGCATCAGCTCACCGGCCTCTTGGGGTGTGAAGTAAGATGGAAAGGCCAGGAGTTGGAGGTCATTCACCCAGACCGTGGCAAGCTGCCTGTTCAGCACTCAGGAGGCTGTCCACAGGTAACAAGAGCACTTGCCATTGACCTCATCTCGGAGATTGAGGACCGAGTCCAAGGCATTGGCACTGAGAAGAGCCAGTTCACAGAAGAAGAAGGTTGGATGAGGAAGCTGGTACAAGAGCACCCAGTACTCAAAAGCCTTCCGCCTTGGATTCAAGAGAGGCTGGTGGTATCCCCAGGAGAATGGTCTGGGCTGCCGCTAAACAGAAGGATCAGGAGGAGGTTGAGACAAGAAGGTTTTGTCCTCCACCTCTATGCAGGCGAAAAAGAAGGGTTCAGCTTGCAGAGAGCCCTCAAACAGGTTGGAGGAGATGAAGCGAAGCTGCTGGAGATTGACATCAAAAGAGGTCCTGAGCACGACATGCTCAGTGACACCAAGGTGTATCCCAGTCTTCTACGAGCAGCACTTGAAGGAAAGTTGAAGGCGGTCCTAGGAGGGCCCAACTGCAGAACACGAAGTGTTCTCCGGCACTACCCCATAGAGGGGAATCCCCAAGCTCCGCGACCAGTCCGAGAATGGGATGGAGGAGAATTTGGGAAGAAAGACTTGAGCCCACAAGAGGAAGCTCAAGTGAGAGAAGATGACATTCTTCTCTGGAGGATGGTGTTCCTCTACATGGTGGCCAACTATGTATCCAAAGCTCGAAGCCACAGCCAGGTCCACTTTGCACTTGAGCAGCCAGCATCACCCCAGGAGTACATGCCACAAACAGTGAGCTTCTGGGACACCAAGCAGTGGAAAGAACTCAAGGCCGAGTCCAATTTCGAGGAGATCACCTTTGAACAGAAGAGGATGGGTGGTCCAGCAACCAAACCAACAACAGTAGCAGGCACACTTGAACTAGATGTAGGAGATGATCGATGGACCAAAGGCAAGAGCTGTGCCAAGATCTCCAACTCAAAAGATCTGGCGAGATGGCCACCAGGTCTGATGCACATGATGGCCACAGCCATCGTCGAACAAGTTTTGCACCAGGAAGTGCAAATCAAAGTTCTGTCATGGCAAGAACACTTAGCATACAACCCCCTGCCGTACCGACGTGACTGCAGGGTGTGTCAAGAGTCCCTGCAGCAGGCAGATCTCCATCGGCGGGTTCGCAACCCGATGGGCGGTATCCTCAGCATCGATGTTGCTGGTCCAATGAAGCCAGCATATGATCAAGGAGGAGGACAAGCACGGTGGATCTTGGTGGGGGCATTGTCATGGAGAGTCCCACGGGGATCCACAAAGATGAAACAGCCAACAGAAGAAGCATTAGAAGCAGATGCTCCAGAGATCGAAGAAGGCCAGGCAGAAGAAGAAGACCAGGCAGAAGAAGATGGCCAAGAAGAAGAAAGTGAAAGGCAGCAGCAAGGGGAGGTTGGCGGAGGCGTAAGTCGGGATGGAGGAGACCCCGGCAATCGCCCGCCCGGCGGTGACGGACGTCAGGGTGGAGGAGACCCTGGCAATCGCCCGCCCCCAGGTCGAGGAGTAAGTCGGGGTGGAGGAGACCCCGGCAATCGCCTCCCTGGTGAAGGAGCACGTGAGGGTGAAGAAGACCCGGCACAGCTCCCTCCCAACATAGAAGAAGAAACTGAGCTGCGTGTCTTTCGAATGGCCCTGCCGATGGTGACGAAGACAGCCAAAGAGGTCACCCGAACCACCATGGAATTCCTGCTTAGGCTCAGAGCAGATGGGTATCAAGTGCACAGAATCCACTGCGACAGAGGCCACGAGTTCGCAGGTGAGTTCAAAAGATGGGCCAATGCGCGGGGAATTCACATAACCCGCACACCGGGTGATGATCCGAGAGGAAACGGAAGGGCCGAGGTTGCAGTGAAGGCGATCAAAACCCAGATCAGAAGAACTTTGAGCCAGGCCTGCGAAGACTCCAAATGGTGGCCATGGGCGTGCCGCTATGTGACAGAAATCAACCGATGTGTGAGGTTGGATGAGAAGCCGGAATGGCCAAGGTTTCTGAAGGAAGTTCGAGTGAAGAAGAGAAGATGGAAGAGAGGAGACTTCGAAGTTGGAGTCGAGAAAGTTCAGTACCTATGTCCATCGACAGAGGACCATGGACATTGGGTATACAAAGAGGGCGAAGCACCAAGGGTGACAAAATGCCTGATGAGGCCAACAGAAGAACCCCTGGACGAGAGTGTCTGGGTTGCCATCGAGAAAGAGATGGTAGACGCACTGGTGCTTCGAAGAAGATTGAGGCAGAAGACATCAGTGAGGAGGTTGGATGCTTCGATGAAGGCACCCAAAGAGGAAGATGATCAAAGGAAGAAGATCCGAGATCGGATCATGAAAGTGGTAGAAGAAGAGGCTCGGCAGATCATAGAGGATGATCCTGAGCTGGCATCTGAGGAGCTCAAGATTGTGGCAAAATTGAAGAAGATGGCAGAAGGAATTGAAATGGAGGAAGAAGAAGTACTCCAAACGAAGATAGTGGGACCGAGAGAGGTCGCCGCTAAATGGAAGGATTGGCTTCCGGCCATTGAAGCAGAAGTACACTCCTTGGTGGTAGAAAAGGAGGCCTTGAAGATGCTGTCAAAGGAGGACTTCAAGGAGTTGAAAGAAGCAACAGAGAGAGCAGGCACCAAGCTGGAAACAGTTCCTTCAAAGATGGTGTTCACCGTCAAGCCTGGACCTGATGGTGGAAGACCCAAGGCAAGATGGGTCGCATGCGGGAACTATGAGTCCAAAAAGGATGATGAGAACAACTACTCAAGTGGCGCAGATGCCACAGCGTTCAGAGTCTTGGTTTGGAAGTCAGCGAAGGAGCAGTGGGTGGGTGTGGTGACTGATGTGAAGACAGCATTCCTGAATGCAGCGATGGATCAGAAAGGAGACGAAGGAATCCTTCTGATCAAACCACCAACCATCCTGGTGGAAAAGCAGTTTATGACCAAAGAGGCTCTTTTCTTGCCACTCCGTGCTGTATATGGCTTCCGAAGATCTCCAAGACTTTGGGGAGATCACAGAGATAGCGTCATGAAGACCATCAAGATCCAGTTCGTCAGCTCTGGTCAAACCGTGGAGCTAGTCTTGGAGCCCCTGGAGTCAGAACCCAACTTGTGGAAGGTAGTCAAGGCCGAGGGGGAGAAACAACGAGAGCTGGAAGAAGAGTTTCAACTGTATGGCATGGTCATGACGTACGTGGATGACATTTTCATCTCTGGCTGTCAACCAGTTGTGGAGGCGCTCCTGAAAGAGTTTCAAAGCATCTGGGCCACTTCGAAGCCAGAGTGGGTTTCGTCATCACCGGTGCGTTTCCTGGGCATGGAAGTGACCAAGGAGGTGGACCCTGAGACACAACGAGAAGTATGGCTCATAACACAGGAGTCATACATCAAAGATCTCGTGAGCCGTCAAGAAGAAGAAGTCAAAGAGAAGAAGATTCCAATATCACGAGATCAAGCAGCCATGGAGGTTGATGAGGAGCCTCCCAGCATAGAGAGGGTCAGAAAGTGTCAGAAAGCGGTAGGAGAAGTGCTCTGGTTAGTCACTAGAACCAGACCGGACATAATGTTTTCAGTAGCCCGCATGGGTGCGAACGTCACTCGCGCCACCAGGAAAGTGATGGAAGCAGCTTCACAACTCTGGGGCTTTCTGAAAAAGACAAGTGCAGAAGGCTTGAGGTATGAGGAAGAGACAGAAGAAGAACCGGTTGTCCAGGTGTATACCGACGCGTCCTTCGCGCCGGAAGGTGAAGAGTCACACGGCTCTTACCTGGTCATGGTCAATCGATGTCCGTTGTTCTGGCGATCTGGTCGTCAGGCATCAGTGACGCTCTCAACTGGCGAGGCAGAGCTGAATGAGCTGGTGGAGGGACTCAATGCAGGAGAATCAGTAGCAGTGCTGATAGAAGAAATCCAAGCTGGTGTCAGAAAAATGGCTTGGACTGACAGCTCAACAGCAGTGAGCATCCTCACCAGTGAAGGAGGCTCTTGGAGAACGAGACATCTCCGTTTGCGCTCCTCCTACGCCAGACAGGCGATCTTGGGAGGAGAATGGGGTCTCAACCACTTGCCAGGAGAAAAGATGATCGCAGACATCGGCACCAAAGCATTGACTTCTACAAGAATTGAAACACTCAAGTCAATGATGGGCATGGGGAAGAAAAGAAAAGAGGAGGAAGTAGGAAAAGAAGCGAACCTGCCAGCAGAGAAGCAGGTTGCATCAACTGAGCAGGCGATTGCAGCTGTTCGCCTGATCACTCTGGTCGCCATGATGTCCGTGGCCAAGGGTGAAAAACAAGAGGAGGAAGATATGGAAAGTTTCAATGCGTTTCACTGGATGGTCGCGGCGTATACCGTGATGGTCATCGTCGCCACCGTCACTGTTCAGGCTGTTTGGAAGGTCGCAGTAAGGATGAGACAGGGAGAGACCGAAGAGCCTCAATCCCGGAAGTCCCGAAGTCGCCCCAACAGCCAAGGAAAAGATTGCGCGACGCTGCTGGACAGGGGGATCATTCCAGGTGATGCGGTTGAGGGTAGAGGAGACCCAAACCAGCTCCCTGAAGCAGGTGAGGCGGCTAAGGAGAGCCAGCCCCCTGAGGCATGTGTGGCAGTTCCGGGTGGAGGAGACCCAGGACGGGCCCGTGCCGGCCATGGTGGCCCTTCGGGTGCGGCATCATCAGGCCAAACCCTTGATTCCCTGATCCAGCAGCAGATCGCAGATGATGAACGTTGGGAAAGAGAATGGAGAGAGCTAGAAAGAGATGAAGCTATGATTCAAAGAGAGCTGAATACACCAGGGAGCGCACTGTGGACAGAAGATGATCCACCTGAACCAGCGACTGACTTTGATGTCTACTATACACAGTATGGAGCTGTGTACCATCAAGATCGAGCATGTGGCCACCTGAAAGGGCCCAAGGTTGGACAGGTGTTTGAAGGAAGATGGTGTCGAACGTGCCAAAAGAAAGCGGGTCGTCAAAACAAGGCTCCGCTACCAGGAAAAGAAATTTTGCTTGGAAAGTCAGTCAGAATTTTCCACACAGATCTCCAGTGTCCAAAAGGAAGAAAGAATGAGAGAACTCCAGTGTGTCAAAGCTGCGGAGTGAAGAACACATAGGGGTAGTTTGAGCGGCGAATGATTTCCCCCTATCGGGGTCATCAAGGGGGAGTGATGAACTGCCACTTCACCATTTGATGTCTTTTTGCATGTTTTCCATTTGAGCTGCATTTGAACATATCCTGATCTGCAGCTGCCCCTTTCAAGCATTTGACAATTCGCGACTTGAAGGAAAACACTGAGGAGCTGTTGCATTTCGCACCTTGCCTGCACCTGCCGACGAGCAAGAATGATCCTGACAATGGTAGTTAGTCATCATAGAATGATGGCGACATAGATGATGACTTCAGAACATTCACCACCGACAGCCACGTGGAAAGATGCCACCTCCAAGATGTTGCGCACAGTGCGACCGTTGCCGCTGTCGCGTAACCTGGTTGGCGTTTCCAAAGTCATGGGGCGTAGCGAAAAATCGCTGGATGGTGAATGGGAAATCCTATGAAAATGGATGATTTTATTTTTTATTTCATGGAAAATCCCATTCATATCGATGATTTGGGGGTACCCGCATGGATTGGAAACCGCAAAAGATTAGAATATTTAAAAGTACCCAAGGTGAAAAACCATGACCATGATCATGGTGAATGTCTGGGTTTGCAAGAAAGTGTTGAGTCACGTGAATCAGGAAGAACTCATCTTGGTCATTAACGGTGCCCCAATGTAAGCCCCAAAAGGCAACAACAATCAAAAGTATTTCAATGTGATTAATTCCAAGTGTTGTTTCCAAAAGATCCCTCTTTTCCTGGTTGCATCCCATCTTTCTGCTAATATCCTTTTTGGGCTTGCAAGCCTGTACTTGCTGATTGTTGCTGTTGATTCAGATCCAAAAATTGGGTCATCCCATATCAATGGGAATTCCAGGATCCTAAAATGGAGGTACTGTACCATATTTTTGGCCATATTTTGGGGGTATATCCCCTTACATAGGCCTTACATAGGCCTGAAAAACTTGGTGAATCTCCGGTTTTTCATCGCCTGGTGAATAACTTCCAGTTGTTCCCTTAAGAGGTGCAATAGTGCGCCCACTACCAGCAGTATCCGCGGGGTGATCCTCCTCAGAATGGATTGATGACCATCGTATCTAAATCCCTTTAAATCCGAGAAAATGGATGTGTATATATATATATTTATGAATTAGCGTAATTCATTACAAACATTACAAATCATTATAAATCATGTAAAATCATTATAAATCATTAAAAGTCATTATAAATCATTATTATTCATTATAAATCATTTAAAAGCATTATAAATCATTAAAAGTCATTATAAATCATGTGAACTCATTATACTTCATTAAAAGTCACTACAAATCATTATAATTCATTATAAATCATTATAAACCATTAAAAGTAATTATCAATAATTATAAATCATTAAATCATTATAAGTCATTACAAATCATTGCAAATCATTATAAATGATTATAAATCATTATAAATTATAAGTCAGTAAACATCAATGTAAACCAGTATAAATCAGCATAACTCATTATAAATTGTTGTAAGTCATAATAAGTCATTTTATAAATAACTATAAATCATTATAAGTCATCATAACTCATCATAACTCATTATAAATCATTACAAATCCCTATGAATCCAATAACAGCCATTTGTCCAAGTTATGACCATGGCACGCTTCGCACTCGGATTGATCGCCATCGCAGCAGCCAGTGCCTGGGGAAAAACAACGAGAACGTGCATGGCAGGAACCGACAAGGAAAAACGTTGCGGTCATGTCTAGTCATCCCAAAAAAGATGGGAAGAACAAAAAAAAACATCATTTCGCGAGGATTTAGCATATCTTAGCATTCTCTATTATCTTTTTCTGATTTATGTGCATACATGTGCATAGATGTGCATACATTGTTGTTTTGATGCAAACGAATTTGAAATTAACCCAATGTCCCCTTGGGGACCCAGTATTTTGAGATGTTATAAGCCATAGGCTCCCATGGGCTGTGGGTATATCATCTGCTACCGCTTCTCCAGGCCTCTATTGCTGCTTGTAGCCATGACAGTGGTACTGAGAAAAGCCGTATTTCCAGCAAACATCCCCAACTTGACCATGCAAATGATTGACAGGATCATTTATACCCGCCAATTGACATGGCATCCTCTTCACGAAAATGCTTGCGTTTCCAGCCGCAACTTTTCTGGCTGTTCTGGTGGGTGGGTGATCTGCTGAACATCATTCATGGAGTCAACATCAACCACGACTTTTGGGGGCTGCTCCCCTCACGATATTTCAGCAGAAATGGTGATTCCATGTTGGTCCCTGTGAAATTTGTTTTAATGTGGGTAAAACCACAATAAACCATCCCCCAAATCAACATCAATAACTAGGTGGCTTTCTCTATCATTCCCAGTCATGGCTGGTTTATGACTTCATGATTGTTTTACCCACCTGCCATGTTTGAGAAAAATTCACCATGAAAACCTGCGGAGCTTAGACGAAGCCCATGGGGCAACCTGAACGAGACCACGACTTGGTGGACTTGAGGATGCACCCTCTGGTCATGTCAAAATGGCTATTGAAAATGGCCATAGAAATAGTGACTTATCCCATTAAAAATTGTAAGTTTCCATAGTTTTTTGTATGTTTACTTACCCGAGGGTAACTTGGAAAATCACGGGAAAATCACCTAAACTTTGGGGAAATGGCCCCGGGCCCATGGTTTCCAGAGCGACAATTTGGACCATCCTGGCATCCCGTCATTCGCACCATGCTGCTGAAACGGATGGTGCGGTTCAACCATTTCGTGGCGCCCTCGGAGGTCCTGAAGCCCTGGTGGTGGTCCGGCGGTGTTTTCAACTCCCAGATGCAATAGATGGTTGTTAACCCATCTATCTGGGAAAATTAGAATATTTCACTAACCTGAAATGTTGGACCGTATTGGGATAATTCTCCTTACTCATCATCATTTCCTGTGAGGGAGAACAGTGAGGTCGTTAGAATTTACCCAGATCCACTATTAGAATCACCATAGACCCAACAATTACTCCATCATCATCTAACTATAGTTATAAAATGTTATAGACCGCCTGAGCCAAAGCAAAGCTTGCTGGTTTCAGCACCAAGAATTACTGCCATGTGCTACAGGAAAACGGTAACAATCACCCCTGGTTGGCGTGATTGGATGATGCAGGGATCATCCCCAAAACGAGGGATTCATCGGTGCTTGCTGTGCCATGCTGTGCTTGGGGTGGCTTGGAATGCCAGGATTCCCTGGCTTGTAGGGAACTAAGGGAACTATCAGGGCTATGATTTTTCTGTGCATCCTTAGGATTCCGAAGCACCAGTCGACTATGGGTCGAGGGATGCTTGGTCTATAGCCGCAGATCCGCAGATCCATCCCATGATACGCAGATGTCGGATGACCTATGATGACCTGTCGATCCCATCATCGTCATCAATCCTAATAGGGTAGAGGTCATCCAGGGGACCTGATCCTCTTCATGTAGTGGGACTGGTGATGGCCGCACTTCTTCAAGAATCAAAACTTGAGGATTTCCATGGATTTCCCACCGATCCATTGATCACAACAGCTGTCAGGAAAGTCTTCAAACCTGCCCAAAGTCCAGCTGCTCTGCTATGGACCATGGACTTAGTGAACTGCTTTGCAAGTGGCTTATGACATGCTTATGACCCACAATATGCTCAGTTATAGTCGCTTGTCGGTTGAAACTTCTAAGCCAGTCCAAAAACTAGAAAGCCCATATTCCTGCCCGCATGGACCTTGTCGCCCATGAAGATACCACCGATGTGGTTCAGTTCATCGCAGGTGTAGTCATCGAAGTAAAACTTGAAGGGCACACGACCTGATTCTTCAGGGGGGTTACCAGTTGGAGCCAGTTTGGGGGTACTTTTTTTTTGAACAGAGATCCGGGTTTGTCTCGGTATTTACCCACAAATTGCCAGATTTTCCCCGGGGTTTCCCCCAGGTTTTAAACCACGGGATGCTGGGGAACCAACAACACACCGGTCTGTTGGGGCTCTATATGCGGGAGACAGGCACTGAATTCACCCATCTTGGATGACAATTTAAAGAAATCTGAAATGGAACCCCTTAAAAATGCTATTAGTATATCATCCACTACAAAAGTCATGCTCCGAGCATCTCCAAACGATGTTTTGGATCTTCGACGCATCATGTCCAGTATGACTCCTATGACTTTGCTGTACGAATACATCCCATCCCCTGTTAAATACCAACCAAAAAGGGAAAAAACATAGTGACATATAGATACATATAGATACAATATGGAAAAATAAGTGGGAAATAGTGGGATATAAGAATCTGATAGATCAATATCTATGATACATCGTGGTAAAATTTCATATTTCACTAACCTGAAATGTTTGGCCATTTGGGGATGATTTCCATTAACCATGATTCCAGTGAGGGAGAACAGTGAGGTCGTTATAATTTACCCAGATACATATAGTGACCAGGGTTTCGTTTGGAGGGTATCCAACATGATCCGGAGAGGGGTGTGTTTCACCTGCGAGTCAGAGGAATCAACTCCAGCATGAATAAAACTCCTGAATGACGCAAATGGTCATCCCAAATTATGAGGAAGTATCAGCACTGTCATAAGCACACTTCCTGAATTTCAATTGGCCGTATGACAAGTAGTTTTTTCAGCGGAGCTACTTGGATCATATATTACTCCAAGGACAAACTGGAAGCAAGACAGGCCATGGTCACAATATGTCACAATATCTCACAATACACGCGTGTCGTATGACCCCAAATCATGTCCAACCTTAGATATTTACAGTACGCTATGGCTAGAATTAACCCATTCATCTACCAAACTAGGCTAACAAATCCCACGTGATCTTTGGGCTGGTCCAGCTCGGGGAGATTCCCATGTCAATGGGAATTTCTGGGGATATTCACTTACATAGGCCTCAACAATAGGCCTTATATATGGTAGCTACCTCCATTTTAGGATCCTGAAGATCTCCCATTGACCATGGTTTCTTCAAAAGACTCCGTTTCAAAAAGCACAAGAAAATCTGTTTCCGCACGAAAAATCTCGTTGCTGAGGTCCACCACTTTGGCTGCGATTTTGAGCGCTGAAACCAAGTGGCTCTTGAATCCAGGATTCGCTTCGAAAAAGGTCTCCATCTCCTTCTCGTAACCTGGTTGACGGTAGAGCTACAAGTACCAAATGATGTTTGAAACTTGAGCTTTGCCCGCAAATCTACAGGCATGTTCATCATTTTCCACATCATAATTTCGTTGCCATCAATTGGGGGTAAATCCTAAATTTGGAAGAAAAAAAACACTCACACATACATATATATATATATATATGAAATAATTATCAGTAACAGTAGTTGTTGGTTAGATGATAAATGTGAAGAATTCCTATTCACGATGGTTTATACAATCCAATGATCAAATAACTGCCTCCATATATATATATATACATGTAATATCATGTAAATCATTCATTTTAATTGGATTGCCCATGATTTTTCATTCTAAACTTTATAAACCATCCAGCTATTGGGGTAACCCCCATGACTTGGGAAACCTCCCAAGTCAGACAACTTCCCTGGAAAATCTCGCAGGTCCGCACCTGCAAAGATGGCAATGACCTGAAGGTGGGGCACCAAGGTGCCCCAGTTTACGATGAAAACCATAGGAAAATGGTGATTTCGCCAACGAACATATGGTGTTTTTGAATGGGATTTAATTATAGCATATTATAGCTGATTTGCGATAAGTTGGTGCCTTTTTAACTCCAATTTCACTAGGGTTTATGGTAAGGTGAATGAAACAAGAAAATTTGTGAATTTCCCTGGTCCCTTCTGCTAATCTAACCTGGCAATGAAATTGTATGCCAGTGTCCTTCTTACTCTCCATTGATAGATAAATGTCCTATGAAACCACTGAAAGTTTGCGTTGCCATGGTTCAGCGGCGGTGGTAGACCCCAGAAATCAAAGGTGGAAGGAACCCATTTCATCTGCTTGGTGGTTGAGCCACCCCTGTTCCAACTAGGGATCGTTACCCCACAATCCCTCAACTTAATGTGTTCTAAGATGTTTTAAGAAAGACAAGCTCTGATGCTTTGGAGTTCTCTCCTGCTCTATCATGGTGGGAGTCAGCACTGTAAATAAACCAAGAACAAAAGGTAATTTGGGTATGTCATGGTTGGTCTGAAAATAGTGCATCGAAAGGTCTCCTGGTTGACAATCAGTTTCCTCAAAACGATGGCTATGAATCGGGGCATCCCATTTTTGGATAAGCCATTTATCTTCAGATTTTATATGATTTTATCCTAATCCCAAAGCTGACTTAAGTTAGGCGATTTACGTGATGCGGTCTCTCAATATTCACCATAGCCAAAACGTGCAATCTGACCTTTCGATGAAACCAAAGGATCGCGTCCCCATTCTGAATGCGAATTCCTCATCTTCACGGGCGTAAAGCCAGATGTTCATCGAAAATCCAAGATAATCTCAGGTAAGCAGTGTCAAAAACCTGTGTTTTCATCCGATGCCCAGTTGATCATAATATATAATCAGTTGTAAATTGGATAATTCAGTGATGATCAACCAAACATCATCTAGCCATTACATCCGAATATTTTTTGATGGTTGAAACCAATTTTATTTCTTCAATCTCCCTTGTCTCATAACTAGTCTGGTGAGGTGCCCATAGCCATGCTCCTTGCCCTCTTTTTTTTGTTCTAAACCATGATGGGAAATCACGGGAAATCACCATCAAAACAATAGGTACCCTGCGGTAAACATACAAAACGATGTGGAGTTTACCCATGGTTTCTTTAGGAAAATGATTTATTGTAAATGGTGGGTGTTCCACATGTGTTCCACATCTACATTAGTTTAAGGGAGTATAAATCATCCAAATACATATCTATATATATATATAAGCCCCGGCTTTCATCGCGAACTGCGCAATTACCGGCCAACTGTTAAACCATCACTTATCAACTACATCCCCATATGTTTGATGCTGAAAACCACATTTAAAGAAACAAAAACACACGTTCAACCCAAAAAAAAAACGATAAAACACATCAAACCCCATAAAATCCCATTAAACCCATTCAACCCCCATTAAACCCATTAAACCCCCATTAAACCCACTAAACCCCCATGAAAGCCGTAGCAAAACCTATAAAAACCACATGTCACTGGTGCCCCACGGCCTGATCGCGCTTATCCTCGATCTCTTTGATCAGTGTGTCGACGGCCTCTTGTCCGAAGGAATCCTTGCTCTCCTGGCTCCGTGGGCGGAAAACGTGAAAATCCCGTTTGGAAGTTTGGAAAAAATGTATGTTAATATGACCTGTATTATATATATATATATATGAATACATGTATGTCTATATATATATATATACACGCAGGTGTGTCATCACCTTCCCCATGTAAAATGACCATTTGGATTTGGGGGTATGCCTGTGCCAGTATACTCCATATGACTCCATTTCCTGACAAAACGGATGATGTCATACTGAAAATGACCATTCCTCCAAAACGCTACCAAACAATCTATATAGGTATATAGGTAAATTATAATATTTCACTAACCTGAATCTTGCGATCATTTGGGGATGATTTCCCTTGTTTACCCAGAAACCATTACTTAGCCCATCCCCGGCCCATGAAAACTGGGCCTTCTTCAGAGAATAGGCTTCATCCACAAAAAGGACTCCACCCATGGCTTTTGCAACTGCTCCCAAAACCTCCGCGGCCAGTGAGAATGACAAAAAACATCAGGGTCAGGTGGTATTCCATACCAACATGGATCGAACAGTGGGAAACAGCCGACCCTTTTTGTCGCAATCTTGCTTCGGAAAATGGGTTTCCGATCTTTTCTCCAAGCTGGGGATGTTCGAGAACGATGTTCAGTTGTTTTTAAAGAGCAAGCCAACCTTCTAAGATGGTGCATCTTAGAACTTGATCAAGCCATTTTGTCAAGAAGCCAGCAAGCTAATCAACAAGCAATCAGAACAACAAGCTGATTATCATCCATCAACAAGGTGTTGTTCTGTTTTTCCCCATGGGGATTCAACCACCCTGCAAGGTATGTAATCCCATCCCCCTAATATTAAACACCTCCTAAATGTTCCCAAATAAGTGCAAATCCACACTAAATCATGGTTTCCAGGGTTTTTTTTTAACTTAGGAGGGAAGGGATGATTAGTCGTTAATCATATTCATTCTGGATTTTGTACTGAACTCCCTGCTCTTCATTTGTTTTATGGCTTGAATCATCTTAAAACTCTTAATTACTCTAATTTATAGTCACTTCCAAAAAAGATTGAAAAGTCATTGAATCTACCACTATTTTCAGATATGTTTAATTGTTAGTATAGGATATCTTACTAAATGTGGTTCCAAAAGATGGCTTTGGTTTGTCTGAAAGACACCCAAAATCCAACATCTTGGGGTATCATGGCTGAAAAATCCTTCAGCAATAGTTTGTTGATCCCAAAAAACCTCGAATTTTACCACCAGTTATGTTGGCCCCCAGCTATGTTTGCCACCAGTTTTCGACTCATGGGTTATATCCTGGATTATTGAAGGGATACAGTATGATATGCATGGTTATACCCCCATTATAATTTCAGTTACTGTAATGTCAACTCCGGATTAAGAGGGACCACGGTTTTTGGTACCCCCCAATTAAACAGCCGTTTGGGGGTTATGAATCCAGGGTTGACATTAAACCCCTCAACTAGTTCGTTATATCCCCTTAATCAAGCCAACAGTTCACCGTTCGTGAACCCTATCACAAATCAGCGAAACAAGTGCATATATATATATATATTTCATGAAATCATGATATTTCTTGGCGAAAACACCCTTTGTCGCATGGTTTCTAGCAGTAGAATCCCATCAAAATCCCCAGATGTCTTGCTTTACATCACCATTTTCCATCAAAAATCAGCTACAAATCACCGTTTTTCTCGGTAAAAATCGTCGTTTTCCCGATATTTTCATATGGTAAATGGGGGCTCCCACCCTGGCTCCACCCTCTCTGACGGCCGCGCCTTGGGGGCGGTCTGGCCCTTGTACTCCGCCACCAGGTCGGCGCGGGAGACCTCCACGAAGACGTCGCTGTCCTGTCGAGCTAACTGAGACTTGATGGTCGGATGGAAAGTGTAGGTTTTCAATGGAAATTCATGATGTTTCATATTGCCATTTATAGTGAGTTTTCCCATTAAAAATGGTGATTTTCCATAGCTATGTTCTGATGTTTCATATGGGGAATATCCCATAGGATCCATGTATGGTATATATGGTAACATACATTTACCATCAATATACCCCCAATGTTAGCATATATACCATCCATGATGTTTCATATGGGGATGGGTCAAAACCCTATCCCCCTTCTGTTCACATCAAAATAGCTGGGATTTATGGATGTGAATAACCCCCTAAAAATGGTATGTATAGGTATTGATCCATAGCCATATTAATAGCTATGTTTGTTTACCCGAGAATAGCTATAAATGGTCTGGTAAACCGGCGCAAAGATTGATAGCGATTGATGGCTTAGTAAGGATGATAGGATTACAGGGACCTGGTGGACCCCCTGGCCCGTTATAAGTTGGTTGGTTTATGTAAAAACCCATCTGACTATAGTAATGTATCCACCATAACTCCTTAAGTTATTTGGTAACCAACTGACAAATCGTTTGGGGGCCACTGGGGATATCTATGGATATCTCGTATTTGTATATAATACAGTATGTACAGTTTTATACATATCATATGATATATCATACATCACTATGATTAGATATAATATTCATATATATATAGTACACTCATTCTATATTAACGTTATACTCACGTGAAATCAAATGAAGACATATATAGAACACCCAAACAAGATAGCAGATAGTAAATTATCACTATTCTAGTAGGATGATTGTCAAAAAACATATTGAAAATGGCCATTTATAGTGGATTTTCCCATTAAAAATGGTGATTTTCCATAGTTATGTAAACGTTTACCAGAGGGTACCTGTAATCCTAACTAAGCCATCAATCGCTATCAATCCAGCCGGTTTACCAGGTTCACCAAGGTCCCCTTCCAAACTAACCAGCCGACCTTCTCTTCTTTCCTCTCCACCTGCGCGGCTGCGCGGCTGCGAAACCACCGTTTGTTCGGAGGAAAGCTGCTGAAACCATGGCGGATCTTTGATCCGAAAAAAAACAAAAACAGGAACCACTGGAGATGTTTTCTTGTTCGCCATTTCAAGCTCAACATGAAGCCATTTTAATGACCTACGGACCTGGCTTTCGGAACCGCAGCTTCCAAGGATGTGCTGAAAAAATGTCGACCAGTCCATGGATGGGATTTTTTCACATCCCAGTGGTCTCCCGATCCACAGGCGATGACTTTAGAAAAACAAAGATGTGGTCAGTGTTTATTGGGTGTAAATTGCTGTTGAGTGGTTTTATTTTTTTTAAGTTGTCAGGCGTTGAAAAAAATCTGATCGAATCATGATGTTGGGAAATACTCTTCATATGAAACAAGCCATTTTTTTCAAGGCCACATCAGTCTGGGCTTAGCCTTCTTGATGACGCCCATTTCCACCAAGAGCTGTCCCACCATGCGTGCCACGACCGTCTTGCCAGTGCCTGAAGGGAATTGGGGATGGGTCAAAACCCTGGTACCTAGTGAACCCCAAAAAAATTCTGGTAAATGGATGTTCATCCCACTAAAAATGTATCTATAGGTATTGACCCATACCCAATTGACATCAAGAATGTTCAAAAACATACAAAACCATTGGGTTTAGGTGGAACATGGGAAGGCCAAACCAAAAGAATGGATGCCATCAACAAGAATGATCGAACATAGGAAGTTGCCAAACCTCGAATTAGCCCAGTAGAAATTGTTCGAAAATCTAAAACTGGACCATCCCCCATAAAAAGGTCATCCAAATATTGAAACTGGGAGAGATGCGGTTCCCAGAATGAACGAAAAACCAAGTCGTTTTGTGGCACCCAAATGCTCAAAATGATCCCAAAAAAGTTCAGTGGTCTTGACTGAAGTGCTACTGAACCCGGTCACGTAGGATATCTGATGTAGTTGGTTCCAAGTTGCAACAAGACTATGCCACTGCGGCGGTTGGGAGACCCCGTCCCCCATCCGAGCTCAACTCTCATACGTTCTGACTGAATCCACGAGTTTCGGATAGCACCCTGATCCCGGCTGCCACCCTTGCAGAAAAACAGATGGTTTCAGTGGGGCTGACATTGCCCTCCATACATCTCCATACAATACATCATATACCCTCTGGTTATTTAACAGTTCGCCATGGTATAGATGGCCCATAGATGGTTTACCGAACTTAAAAATGGGTGGATTTTCCATGGCGAACTGTGAGTCATAACCAGATGGTATCTACTTAGGTGGCACTTGCATCTTCTAATGAGAAACCTTCTCGTAATGGCTACGTAAGATCCTGCAACTCTGGATGAGACAGGACCCATCATGGCACATGATACCCAGAAACCTCCATGTTTAATTGTCGGCAGCTTAGCCTTTAGCAAACTGGCAGACTTGAAAAGCATCTATTTACTATTTAGATCATGTTTCGGTCCATCAGAATCTATCATTTGCTGTACACTTCCCAAATATCCAAATTTGAGACAAACTGGCAATTTTAGATCAACTTCATCAAACACTGCCGTAACTTGCCACAGTTTCGGCACAGAATTTTGGCCCAAAAAAGCCGCTTTTCGTCCCTGGCGTCCCCACCTGGGTTGCCCAAGAACTGCATGTGGAAAGACTGACCCATCAAGGTCTTGGCGTCCGGCAACAGCCTCTTGCGCCTGACGGATGACGTGACGGAGGCGTGGCCGTTGCTGCAACGCAAATGATGACGCCGTTTCCAAGGAGCAGTTGGAGTATAGATAGTTGTAGTCTAGTTATGTCTAGTTATATTCTAGTTATGGGAATTTTCGTTATATAGTCTAAGTATGTCTAAGTATATTAGTGTTATAAAGTGGGTTAAGCTCAGTTATCACTGGGTTATAAGTGATTAATCACTGGTTTTGGGAGAATGTGGGAATCATAGTTACTAACGGATTCATAGCAGTTTGCCTTTCATACTTATAATCTGGTTGGTGGTTTCCACCATCTTGAAAAATATGAGCTCGTCAGTTGGGATGATTATTCCCAATATATGGAAAAATAAAAAATGTTCCAAACCACCAACCAGTTATAACATATATATATATACATACATACATACATACATACATACATACATACATACATACATACATACATACATACATACATACATACATACATACATACATACATACATACATACATACATACATACATACATACTACATACATACATACATACATACATACATACATACATACATACATACATACATACATACATACATACATACATACATACATACATACATACATACATACATACATACATACATACATACATACATACATACATACATACATCATACATACATACATACATACATACATACATACATACATACATACATACATACATACATACATACATACATACATACATACATACATACATACATACATACATACATACATACATACATACATACACACACATACATATACATACACATATACATACATATACATAGATATACATACATACATCATCCCTACTACATTTACATACTACTAGCACATAATACATTCATACAGACTACAAACATCTACCATACACGACTCATACTAACATACATACTACTCATACCATACAATCATACATACATCAATACATATACATACTTCTACATACTACATACATAAAATCCATACATACCCTACATACATACCATCATACATACACATACATACACATACATACACATACATACATATACATACATATACATACATATACATACATATACATACATATACATACATATACATACATATACATACATATACATACATATACATACATATACATACATATACATACATATACATACATATACATACATATACATACATCTACATACATATACATACATATACATACATATACATACATATACATACATATACATACATATACATACATATACATACATATACATACATACATACACATACACATACATACATACATACATACATACATACATTACATACATTACATACATACATACATACATACATACATACCAGTTAATGATTGGGGAATAGAGGGATATAGCACTTGTAATCCAGCGACTAAGTGGCAGCGGGATATATCATCCCACTGACTAACCACTTAGCAAAGCAGCCATGGCCATAGAATTGGCCCGGGACTTGGTGGTCTGACTTAGAATGATTCCCAAATCAGTAGTGAGCCTTGGGATCATCAAAACGCGCCTCAACCCCGCAAAAAGAAGTCAAAACTAAATTACCAATTACCACTCTTTTCGTTGGATTTTGTTTGTATATCTGTTGATTCTTTTTGGGGGCTACTGTACCCAGAACTGGCTTCACCATCCGGATCTATTCATTTGGGCCAGGAAGGGCGGTGTTTCATGTGGGGATTCCTTGGAATTTTCGCTAGCAGGTACCAAACTCAACAGAATTTTGTTGTGCGTGCCATGTAGATGAGTCACCGTGATGTTTCACATCTCTTCAGTTGGATGTGATCATGAAATTTCACATATTCTCACATGCTTGCAAGCCGTTGACAAGGTGTTTCTCGTGTTTCTTGGAAGCATGTCATCCCATGGCTGGTCCATATCAGCGGGCCTGTCACCTCGCCAGGGTGGCTCCCTACTTGGGCTATGTTGATCCCGTGCGCAAGGTGGGTATGTCTGGAAATAGGGCTACACCCCTACCATTGTTTTTTTTTGACTACCATAAAAATCCACTTGAAACTCTTACTGTGTCTTTAAGTCGGCAAATTTGCAGTTGATCACTAAAACTTACGGACTCCATCGTAAAGTTCTGTTCACTTTTTGATCATCACCATGGTTTCAAAAAAAAGGATGGTTTTGCTAGAGTCCCCAAGTTGTCATATTTCTGGTGATAAATCCCACTTCAAACTTCTAGTGTTCCTCTAAGTCTCCAAACTGTTTGCTAATGTTTCATGCTGATCAATCCCACTTAAAACTTTGACTCAAGCCTCCAATTTTCATCCAATTTCCAGTTTCTGATAAACTCCTGAAGATAGACTCGAGTCTCCCAATTTCTTGGTCCCGGTGAGGTCAGAACATCTCCCAAGTGTCCATTGAAAAACCTCCCAATTTCACTAGCTTTTATGACCAAGGTGCCATTGGTCAAACTCGACCATGGCTCGAAGTTCGGACATGCCAGCCTTCACCTGCGGGCGCGCGAAATGAAGCGCGCCTCATTCGTAGCTCCAAGTGGCTCCCCATTTTGGGAAAATATGGATACCCAATAACTCAGCTGACCGCTCCCTCCATTCACCACTACATAGTTTATTCAAAAAAGTTCTATCATCCCATTATATCCCCATTCAGTCCTCATTATGGGCCAAATCCCCAACAAAAATCCCAATGAAATCATCTTCCCTATTTGGAGGTCTCCTAAAATGGAATTACCCCCCAAATCATCCACTTTTAATAGGATTTTCATGGATTTTCCATGAAATAAACCGTCTTTTCTGGCTACCCCCATTTTCAGGAAACCGCTGGAGAACCCAGCCATGTTTTTCAAGGTCAAAAACAGGCCGCGCCTTGGTTAGGCCCACGAGTTTGTTCAAGTCATTCATCAGCTTGTCTACCTGGAAAAGGGCCCAAATTTCAGGGCCGATGATGGAAATTCACTGAAAAAAGAAACTGATCGTAGTAACCATAGTGGTTATCCATAGGTACAGTGGTGGTTCTCATTGATCATTGGTCAATTCACTCGTCAATGCACTGAAAATCGAAAACCGGTGCGAAAAAAAAAATCGGACCGGTGCATTTATGGGATAAGCAGTGGATTGCGGATGTCAACCCAGTTGATCATGACTTTTTGGGCAAAGTGCTGAAAAATCACAAACCAAACATCTTTGCCAATTCGGGATGATTCTTCATATGAATCATCCATTTATAGATGGATTTTCCCTTATAAACCATCCATTTTGGGTACCCCCATGACTTGGGAAACCTCCATATCTTTGACCGATATGTGAGAAGCGGTGTAGTTTGCTGGTTCCCAAATGATGCGGAGATGTCGGTCAAGTTACTGCGGTCACCCTGTTCCTCAACTTGTTTGGTTCGGAGCCGTTGATCAATGAGGAAATGAATCATCATGTCCTTGGGGATTTATCATCATGCTTAGGGCCAAACGATAGGATTTCGGAGCTACTCATCTATCAATGTTTGAGGAAATGAATCATCGTTTTGGGGAAAAAACATCATGATTAGGGCCTAAAAAACGTCGGAGCTACTCATCTTAAGACCATCCCACATCCCTGCAAAATCCTGCAAAATATTCTATGATTCTGTCCAGGGTAGCCAGGAATCAGTCGATTTTCACCAATAGCAGGGAATGTTGATGTCCATGCTTGACATTATTGGCAACCATGGCAACCTTTACTGACAAGTGCCATATCATGGTTAGAACATCATCTGTATGCAGATCTTGGCATGCCCCTTCACCACATGAATTTTTACATCCTAGAAACTGAACATCAAGCCAATGAAAAGGCCATGTTCAAGAACCCTAAGTTTTGATTGGAAACACTTGGTCAAAATGGGTCATTTTCATGGACTTAAGCCATCCATTCTTCAGAAACTTCATGTTGACCCAAAAAGTTGTCTATGCCCATAATTCCCATGAAATCCTCCAAGAATGGTGATGTTTCACCATGTTTCACCATGTTTCAGCATGTTTCACCCGGAAAATCTAATGATCCAGTGATATCCCACTAAATCTCCATCGCCAAGGGCCCAAGGGGTCAACCGCATCAACGGCACCGCCGACCTTCTCATTGGTGCCTCCTGGCACCTCGTTTTGCTCAATGACCTGCTCTGCTTTCTTCCTGGCACGGGCCAAAGCGTGCGGCAGTGTTATGTTTTGTCTTATGTATAATATGTTATAAAATTGATAGATCAATCTCTATGTTGAAATATGTTCCTTGCGTTGAACAGATATGATACAATGCAAAGTGGTAGATATCATGTAATAATAATGCGTCCTTCTCTCTCTCTCTCTTTTGTAGACAAGTATTAGTACATTGTTATTATATATATATAATATGTACCATAGATATATCGCCTTCCAAGAAGATGCCCAAACGTGTTTCCAGGATGTTAGTTCGATGGTGTTTCATCCATAATTTCCAGGTTTCCAATTGTTGGATCTATTTGGGTTTGCTAATATGTATATATAATTTCATATATATATATATATAATATTATATAACATATATAATTATAATTATATATATAATTATAATTATATATAATTATTAATTATAATTATATATAATTATTAATTATAATTATATATAAGTATTATATAGAATTAAATATAATTATTATATATAATTATATATAATATAATTATATATATAATATAAGTATATATATATATTATATAATATATATATATAATATATAAGTACATATATAATATAATTATATATAGTTATATATAAGTATATTATATATAAATATATGTAGTGATATCCAGGACGATACGTGTCTTTTAGCGCTGGTGAGCCCACGAATGTGGGACCAGCTTGGGCTGTAACCCGGCAACTTGGACCATGTGGACAACCTGGAAACGTCTGGGAAACGTGTTGTAAGAAGGAAGGCCATTGCTTTAATCGGTTCAGATCTCAGGAGGAAAAAAAATACAAAACAGTCAGGGAAAAAAAAACAGAAATCAGAGGAAATCAACGTTTTTCGGATGGTTCTTGGATGGTTTTCCGGGCCAAAACCTTCGGAAACCAATGTTGAATTCGAAGGTCTGCGCCAAGGTACTTTCTCGTTTGTGGTCTTGCTCAGGTCAAGTGTCTGTCTCAAGTATCCCCATTGAAACACGACGGACGACGAAAGACGACGAAGAGAAAAAAACGAGCAAAAGGGTTTCAAGGGTTCCTCTACGGGACCTCCGGGGGAAGAAATTCCAAGGGTTCCTCTCCGGGACCTCCGGGGAGAAAAAAAATAAATAAAATAAAATAAAAAATTAAGACGGGCACATACCATTGAGAAAAACACATAGCATGTTTTATGCATATTTGCAATGTTCGGTGGCAAGTGTTCTTCCCCGGGGTATGGGTTTGTCTCCGGGATTTTAGATTTTTTTCTTTTTTTTTTGCGACCTTGAGCGCGACCCTTCACTGTGGGAAAACACTTGGCCCTGAGAAATCCTTCGAATATGGGAAAGTTTTCCAGGAATACGGCTGGGAAACCAGGACCTTTGAGGAGGGGAAAAAGAAAGCACCTTTGATACAGGGAGGAGGGTTGAGACAGGCACATACCATTGAGAAGGTAGAAAACCCTTCATCCAGACTTTTGATGAATGCAGCAAGTGGAATGCCTAATCAACCAGCCCAAAATTTCGGTGGGATGCGTTTACCACATTTCTCCACTTCAAAACCCCAGCTCAACAGCCCTTCGCCGTCGCCTGCTGTTGTATGATCCTGGTTTTGAAGCCTGCCTGAGCAGATAAGGAATGGTTCGATCCCAATGCGTTGGTCACGACGAATCTATACAAATCCTGCAAGAAACTTACGTTTCACCTGGCAAACCACTGGTTCGTCTATGTTCATCACTTGTTCCAATCGAATGGCGCCCGAAATCACCAACGAGTTTGCCGAAGCGGCTCAATCCAGCTTGTACACTCTGACACTCTGGTAGTCCCTGGTAGTCCAAGCTTGCGTGTTGGAACATGGTGAATTTTCCTGTTGAAAGTTGTGATGCTCTGCCAGGTTTGTTGGCTGGAGGGTATGAATATACAATGAAAGGTTCTTTCGCTATATTCATGATGCTTAATGTCAACCCCGGATTAACCACCGTGGTTGATTGCTTAGTGGGATTACCCCAGCCAAAGAGTGGCAATTCTGCTACTAATAGCTGCTACTCCCAATGATCAACAGCCCAGGGGTCCCCTTGGCTGGCAACCGAGGAGGAGCACGCCACCATGGATGTACATGCTTGATCTGATCAATACACTACAACGAGAGATAAAATGCGCGCTGGATACCCTCCGGTAAACTAACATAGCTATTGAAAATGGCCATTTATAGTTGATTTACCCATTAAAAATGGTGATTTTCCATAGTTATGTTAGTTTACCAGAGGGTACCCTCCATTGCAACAATACCCAGTTGAAGTGGCTGGGCGGTGTCTAAGATGGTGGCTTCATGGCAGGCATATCCCATGCCTCCTCAATCTCTTTGACACGTGCATACCGCAACCACCACTGAAAAACCAATGCGAAGTCGACTAAGTTCCCAAGTTTGCGGCTGACATCCTCAACTTGGGAAGGCTGACATCTTCAACTTAGCTGCTCCCCCCCAAGTATGCCAAAATGAAATCCCAAAAAAATATCACCCAATCCCAATCAAAATCCATGAACAAATCCCTGAACTGATGAATTTCCTAAAACTGGATGCATCCACATTTTTGCTCCACTGAAAAATCATCAACATCCATGAAAATCCCATTCAATCCAATAAATTCCCATCAAAATCCCATGATAATCCCAATAAAATTGGGATCCAGTTGCCAGGTTTTTCTCTTCTTCAACTTCTGTGACGTGGGCTTTGTGGGCTTCGCAATGGGTTTGGGACCTGTATTTCGACTCCTGAGGTGAGGCGCTGAGGCGGTGTCTTTCAAGGATTTTTCTGAGGTTTCACCATCAACAAATAGATATGTCATGGGATTTCATGGGATTTCATAGGAATATCATGGGAATATAATAGGAATTAATGATAATTCATGGGATTTAATGATGGATAATCAGCTATGAATGGGAGATTTTTCAGCCAGCCATGTTTGAAAGTTCCGCCGGCAGACGGTTCCCCGTATAGAAACCATCTTTTGCCGTGGAGGTCGACGTGAGGTGCCCAAAATCTTTCAGGATCTTATGGACCTATGGACCAGATACAAGATGATACAAGGAACATCACATCCACCATTTTTTGGCAAATTTCCCCCACGGACATCGTGGTTGTCCTTGTTTTTCTGATCTATGCCAGTTTACCCAAAGGTCAATGTCGTGCTCCCAGTTACGGTTTTTGACCCAAGGCACCCAGTGCTGTAAGTCGGCCTCACAGAGGCCTGTCCATCAAGAGGTTCTGCAATGAATCGAAGAAAAGAAAGGAATTCTATTGCAAAACATGTGGATTTCTGGCCTTCAACCAAGTTGTTTTGGTGGATTTCCAGTGCAAAACATAGGTGAATTTCTGACCCAACGCTGCACTATGCTGATATATGCTGCTGGGTGACAAATTGTGGGCAATATCCAAACGAGGGTATGTGCCAAGTTCTTTTCGTGAAAAAAATACTTCGAGTGATCCCCGCCATGGCATTTCAAGGCATATATTCTGAAATACGTATATTCTGACATATGATTTGACATATATTCAGACATTCTACCTAAGATTCTATCTGACACCTATTCTGACATTCTATCTGCCATTCTTTCTGGCATTCTATCTGGTATCTATTCGTGCATTCTATCTGGCATTCTATCTTGCGTCTTTTTTGGTATTCTATCTGGCATTCTATCTGACCTCTATTCTGACATTCTATCTGGGTTTCTCTCTGACATTCTCTTCCGGCAATCTCTCTGTTCGGATTTTGGTCTGGCGGGAAACACTCTGATCCAGAGGTTGCTGTTCGGGTCCAGCGGGAACACTGCGATCTAGCGCTTGCAGTTCAGGTTGGGCGGAAAACACTCTGATCCACAGGTTGCTGTTTGGGTCCGGCGGGGAACACTGCGATCTAGCGCTTGCAGTTGATGTCCGGCGGGGAACACTCTGATCATGGCCTTGCTGTTGGGGTCCGGCGGGGAACACTGCGATCTAGAGCTTGCAGTTGCGGGGAACACTCTGGTCCTGAGCTTGCTGTTCGGGTCCGGCGGGGAACACTGCGATCTGGCGCTTGCAGTTGAGGTCCGGCAGAGGAGGCGGAGGAGGAGGAGGCGGCGGGACAGCTGACATAAATCTAACAACCCTCACCTGACAGGTGGGGAATAAGGGATTTGTCGTGCTACCAGGGAGGTGTTACTATTTTAAACGGGTTTAACTATCAAAATAAGGATTTAAGTGGACAAGGGAAAATAAGGATCGAACTAATTAGCAAAGATCTGTGCGTTCCTTTTCCTGAATTGAAAGTCAAATTTGGGGGGAACCCCCCAGTTTTTGGACAAACAAAATTCCATGATTCAGTGGTTGAATCCATTAAAAAAAATGCTTAAATCAATCCCCATCTTGGCTGGTAAGGGCTGCTCAAACACCCCAGATATTTGAGAAGGGAATAGCTTGTGGTTATCAGATTATCATTTACCCAGAACTGTTCTGAGCAACATCGGTGGTTATGACCATGCTCCCGCACACTTTAGTACCACCCTGCCTTAAACACTCCGCATAAATAAGCAAAACCCAAGTTTCTGTAGATTTCGGGGATGGGTCGAAACCTATGAAAGCACTCATAAAGCATCCATATTTCGATGGTCCATAGCACCCATTCATGGTAAATTTGGGGATGGTTTACTAGTGTTTGACTAACATTATAATGACTACTTTTTTGTAAGTTGTTCACATCCACCTCACTACCAGCTGTGTCTGACTACGTAACCACCCAGCGCCTTCTTGGGAGCCTTCACCGGCTTGGAAACCCCCGCAGATGAAGCGGCCTCAGAACACGAAGGGGGCCGGGAGATGGATTTCATGATATTCATGGCACATGCTCTGTAGGAAATTATATACAAATGATAGATTTTCCTAGAATGGTATATACTTTCCAGTATATATATAATGGTAAATGATAGATTTAGAATGGTATGATAGATTTTCCATTTACAGTATAGAATGGTATGATAGATTTTCCATTGATTCAATGGTATATGTGTATACTGGCTGCCCCTTCATTTGAAATAGGTCAATCATCTATTAGGTGTCCATTTTCCAAAGCTATGTTAAATCACTGGAGGGTACGCGGCCAGTTTCGGATGCCAAAAAATGAAGTTGCTTTGTCAACATCTCCATGTATGGCAAAAGATCAGAGTATTAAAGTGGACATCCGATCCGCAGCTAGGTTGTCACATAAAAAAACAATTGGTACCATGTATTGTATACATGTTACATACACAATATATGTGGTTTCTGTATGTCTGTCTCTCTGTCCGTATGTATGTAATGTAATGTAATGTAATGTAATGTAACGTAATGTAATGTAATACAATGCAATGCAATGCAATGGAATGGAATGGAATTGAATGTATGTATGGGAAAATCATATATAATGTGTATGTTATATACAAATTACCTAGAAAACAATGCATTTGTCCAATCTGATTGTGTACAAAGACATATTATATAATATATATATATGATATACATATACATGTATTCGTGCACATGTAAACAAAGCATCCTGGAGCAGATAGGATATAAACTCGGATCATTCACCAGGGGAATGTGCATCACATTCTCCCTAATGACAAAATGATGCAACAGCATTTTGTCATGTTCTTTTCAGTTCTGCAAAAAGGAGTAAACATGAGTAAACAGCTACTGTAATGTTGTGGCCAAGGTTTAACCAGTAAACATCAGATCTTTATGTCTCCACTGCCGTCAGGCAGGCTCCCTGACCGAGTTCCTCTGATAACACTGGAGACGTCTAGGCGACCTGAGCGAAGGCAGTCGGAAAGCCTTCGGTGGCTGCAGGTAGCGAAGGCGAAACTCTGGATTTCTCAAGCAAAAAGCCATGTGGCTATCTAGAAAACATGTCGGTCCATCCAGCAGGGAATGTGGATTTTATAACAATGTGGATTTATTTCCAAAAGATGTAGGTTCAGCCGGCAAACAATCGCGTTCATCGAGAAAAAGTGTATGTATCTATCATTATCTATCTATCCATCCAGCAAACATATCAAACAAGAATTTGCATAAGATCCTCAAAATCAATCATTGAAGGCGAATGACAATTAACCCAGCATACAACCCCAATCAATAGCACGGCTTCCCTACCACCAAGAGACCACCAAGAAACCGCACCGAGTCGCACCAGCACCGAGTCGCAGCACCGAGATTCCACGGAGTCACACCGTCAAAACACCATCCAGGCACCACCGAAAGTGATGCTTACCATGTAATCCCATCACCCATATGGAACACCCCAATTCTATGGTCCCAAATATGTGCAAATCCCCCACATCCATCATGGTTATTTCTGGGGGTGTAGCCAATGTTAGAGGAATGTTTTTTTCAAAGCTGGTTGGTATACCTCAGGGAACCTATTAACATTCTGAAAAAGATGAATACCATCTGGTTATTTAATATAGCCATGGAAAATGGCCCATAGAAATAGATGATTTTCCCAGCTATAAACCTCCACTTATAAGGGATTTTCCATGGCTATGCTAGTCATAACCAGATGAATACCATGGATATTAAGCAGTTGCTCATTGGAATGATCCAACAGTTACTCACAACACTTAACCGGGCCCGATCAATCCCAGACATCCCCAATCATCCCCGTTGGCCGTCCAGCGACCCCGTCGATGAACGCGGCACAGCATCCGTGTAGATATGGCAAGCTGCGGCCGTTGGGACGTGGCGTGGCGGGATTCACCAGGATGAAGGGCAAAAAAAATGTGTTGTTCATAGGGAACCCCATAGGGAACCCCATAGGGAACCCCATAGGGAACCCCATAGGGAACCCCATAGGGAACCCCATAGGGGGCCCAAGGAGGTTTTTCAATCCTCATATTGGAGAGTCATGCTATAGGGCCATAGAGTCCACCTGAACTCCGCCAGAATTCACCTCTAGAGTGTCCCCAAACACGTCCTTTTTTTTTAGGTCGACAGCCAAGTGGACTTGTTGAAACTGTTCACTCTCCAAATTGTCGCATGGCCATCGGCCATGTTTTGTGGAGAAATTCTCCACTGACAAAAAGAAAACTCGTTTCTTCGACAGAGATTCTGGCCATACTGACCTACCTAGTAGGGGAATTATATTATATGGATATCAATGATAATCTATTATCATAGTAGAATACGATCTATCCAGCAAGGCAACTTCAGATATAGCCTAGCTACTATACTGCAATCATACGTATCCAAAGTAATTGCCATAACAATCTTAGGTAGTTTTACAGCATCCGAAAATGGGATTTAACATGATTGTGCCATAAATTCATATAAATTCCACATCTTATTGATAAAAAAAGGTTCATTTATTAACCCCATTCGTAAATATACATATATTGTCATAAAGCCTAGTTCTAGTAACTTTCTAGTAGTTACAAAACCAACTGGGCCAATTCAGGACGCCCACTTTCTCCATCCCCAAAAAATGGGGCGGTTTTGGCGGTTGGGAATTTTGAACATCAGAAATATAGTGATATTTAATATGTTCCCAATGTTGTTTCCCAACATATGATGCTTAATCATAAATAAATCTAGTGGGGTATAATCTCCCCTTTACAAAGTATCTGTTGGAGATTATATCCCCAATGATTATATAGTTGGATGGTATGGAAAAATTAGGACATGTACCAACACTGATATATCCCCAAAAAGAAAAGCAAATCCCCATTAAGAAAGTGCTGAATCTCACGTTTCTGCATTTTTTGGGGGATGACTAAATGCATTTTCTTACGGATGTTATGGTTGTAGCTAAGTTGGTGGGGGTATACCTCTAGTCCAGTAACTGCTGGGTTTATGGCAATTATACAAATCATAACCTATAAAAGCTGGTTTATAAACCCATTATATACCCTCTGGTAAACTAACATAGCTATGGAAAATCACTATTTTTAATGGGTAAATCAACTATAAATAGCCGTTTTCAATATCTATGTTAATTTACCGGAGGGTAACTATAATTAGTTAAATACCTATAGTTATACCCCCAGGCTATCTAGGGGGCCTCACCGTCCAGTATTCATGTTTTTCTTTTAAAGAAACCCCGGAAAACCCGGCCCAAAACGGCACCCGCCTCCCAGTTGGTGCGCAAAGCCCTTGCAGGTGTCGCGGCCGTCACAGATCTCCACACACTCTTCCAAGGTAGGAACCCTGAGTCGCGAGCGAAGAAGTTAGGCTGAAGTCGTTGTGCGATCTCTGGGAAACATCTGGCAATCATGGTTAATCTTTAGAAATCCATGGAGTCCATAATCCGCAATCTTTATCAATGAAATCCATGGAATCCATAATCCGCAATCTTTATCAATGAAATCCATGGAATCCATAATCCGCAATCTTTATCAATGAAATCCATGGAATCCATAATCTGCAATCTTTATCAATGAAATCCATGGAATCCATAATCCGCAATCTTTATCAATGAAATCCATGGAATCCATAATCCGCAATCTTTATCAATGAAATCCATGGAATCCATAATCTGCAATCTTTATCAATGAAATCCATGGAATCCATAATCCGCAATCTTTATCAATGAAATCCATGGAATCCATAATCCGCAATCTTTATCAATGAAATCCATGGAATCCATAATCTGCAATCTTTATCAATGAAATCCATGGAATCCACAATCCCCAATCTTTGTCAATGAAATCCATGGGATCCATAATCCGCAATCTTTATCAATGAAATCCATGGAATCCATAATCCGCACATCGAGATTTTTCATTAAGCCAAGAGTAGCGCAGAGGGTACTTGGTGGCTCACCAGGAAGCGTACGTGGTTTAGTTCACCCCAATTCCAGGGGTGAACCGTCTGACTGCAGGGGATATAAGGGGAAATTTTTAAGAATATGAGGATCTTTTTTTGATCAGCAAATGGTGATTAAAGCATCCCCACATTTGACTTGGTGCTTTTTGTGTTTTTTTTAATCCACTGCTAAGTTGATCTATTTGTTTTCCGGCCGTAAAAACTGAAAGTCTAAGTGCATGTCTATACTCCATCTAGAAAATCTACGGCGTTACATCTTCCCAGGTTTCCAGAATTGGTTGAAGGGATTGTTTGCAGGAAAACCCTGTAGCTGGTGGGTAAAAAAAACTAGGCACAATGGATTTCGCCGTAAAATTGGGCGCGTGAGATTCGGCTGAAAAAAATTGACCATATTCAATCACTCCATTGACAAGGGCAAAGATGGAGGAAATCTGAGTGACCAAAAGAGATCCTAAAATCCTAAAAAGAAACCGATTGCGCTGGACTACTATTGACTCCAGCTCCTGTTCCTTTTTGATGCGGGACTTTCCCCATCTTTGGCATTTCTATGCAATCCTTTCAAGCTTCTGAGTGCCAAATGATCTGCAAGGGATTCATTTAAGGGAAAATCTTAACTGGAAACCATGGTTCTTATCGTTGAATATACGGGTTTCGTGTGAATTTTCCAATCATCCAATTCTGGGCAACACTACACTTTTTCACAAATGGTCATTTGATACAGAAATTAGTTGATAAACTTGTCCAAGTTCGCAGCACTTGGATGTCTGTTTCGATCACTTTTCCTGACCCGCTGCTCTCTTTTATTGTGGTTGCCCCGATACCCTCCAGTAATCAAACATGGCCAAAATGGGCATTGCTGGGAAAATAATCATTAAATAAATGAAAGATTTTCCAGCAAAGCCCATGACTCATGTCATAAGAGGGTACTACTTGGATATGCATCCCACTTAGTTGTTGTAGATATTTCAGCCATGTATGAGTGGGATATCCTATGAATCAGTGGAGTTATACTGTGGTTATTAACCACTTACCAGTTATAAGTGGACATAACAAGTGGACATCTGACCGTCGTTACAGGGGTTTATTGCAATCTCCACCATTGATTCAGTACAGTAAGATCATTTCGGGCCAAGAGCTTCCGGCAACAATGGATCCAGCTGGGGAAACCGACGACTTTTTGAAGCTCACATACATCTTCTTGTGCGCGTCCTCGCTGTGCGTTGTTTCGAAAACATCCCCCGGATCTTTGCTGATTCCGCCGGAGCATGGTTCTTTGTGGAGCTGAAGATTCAGGTTCCTGACTTTGGCACTTTGGCCAGAACAGAGGTTAGTTCGGGCGGCTGCAACTTGGAGCCGGCGCCGTCAACCGACCAAAAAGTTGGTGAAATTTAGGATTCAACCAAATTCAACCATCCACGTTTCGAAAGACTACGTCGTTTTGATCCCTGCATTGTCACACATCCACATCAATTACATCGGAACCTAGGTAGCAAATCCCCACAGGGCATCTGCATCCTTGCATGGTGTCAGGATTTTTTAAAAAACAATGGGACAATGATAATGGATATACAGATACACAAGTAGTAGACATGTTACGCAAATATAGAAATATGTTAACCAACTTGTTGTGCACGTGTTTTTTTAGATTCATCAGAAAATCAAAATGTGAAACAGAGCAGGCTAACAAGAACGTGAAACATGTTCACTAAACTCGGGTCGCAATGATGTTTAGGAATCACATGTTGTGTTTTAGATGCTAAAACTGGCCCCAAGTTCCTTGACGAATCACACCCCTGCTCTTCAGCGAAAAAACATGTCGGGGGTTGCACCTCTACATTTGAAAATCCTGAACAAACATCCTCATTCTTTTGCACTCCAGGTATGGCTGCCATGGTTCCTTACACCATCCGGGGTCAGGCATCGGCGTGTATCCCCTCGTGGGATTGCCCTGAGCCGGGAGATGCCGGGAGGTCGGATCGTATCGGATGCCAAAAGTCATGGATTTTACGAGGGAAAATATGGGAAATTGATGGGTCATACCAGAAAATGTTGGAAAACTGATGATGAACGCACTAGAAAATCAAGGCAAACTGATGATTCGGAATAATGTTTGATCTATACCATTTTATAAGTGTTTATACCCCATCTAATTAGAATTAATTAGATATATATATATATGTGTGTGTGTGATCGAAGGAAGTTTAGAAGTCAAACTTCCAACAATATGGACAGATGGACAAGCAGAGGTGGGAAGAGTCAGAGAAGGGAAAGGAAGAAGAGAAAAGGTCAACGTGCGTGAAAAGGTACAGTAGAAAAGTCGCGAAAGACTGTGTTTTTCCAATGTTTTATGGCACCATGTGGCACCGGAGGGTCGAAAAGTAGGATCGCTAAAGTGGCGGGTGCTGGTGAGCGATCAAAAATTGCACGCTGCTGTGGCGCGAAGCACATTTGGAAGTCTAAATGCTCAAAACACCTCATTGCCGAAGCAGTTTGGAAGTTGAGATGTCGAAAAAGTGCACGCCGTTGTGGCGCGAAGCATATTTGAAAGCAAAAATTTACAAAACACACCATTCTCAGATCACTTTTGGAAGTTCAGAGGTTCAAAAAGTGCATGGAGTTGTGGCGCGAAGCACATTTCGAAGTCAAAATCTATAAAACACACACTATTCTCGGACCACTTTTGGAAGTTGAGATGTCGGAAAAGCGCACGCCGTTGTGGCACCAAGTCATCGTTGTCTGCCACCACTGGGATGCGCATTGAAGTTGCAAAAGCCGAGCGTGTCGCTCCCCCAGTGGTGGCTTTTTTCTCTCTTTTATCCATTTTTTTCCCCCTTCTTCTCCTTCTCCTTCTATTTCCTTCATCCACTCAATGTGGATGCCCCAAAGAATGAAAAACAATGAAAAACAAAAGAGTCGGAGTCCAGACCCTACAAAAGACACGGTCGCCTGACATCCTGACAAATGAATATGTGGGGTGTAGGGTTATAGATGTATCATATAATATATCGCAGCACTAACAAAACATGGCTGGGAATCTGATGGGGAAAATCATCATCCGAAGCCAATCTGTGGGATGTTCAACGGTTGCAGCGGGGTGAAGCGCTGGAAAAGGGGAAGTCACGGGGACAAACGGAACAGAAGGAACAAACATCCGAAACTCGTAAGAAAAACGAAAATCCATTAAAGCATGGTCTAGTTTAGCGCGCACCAACCATGGGGTATGGATTTGCCCGGAAAATGGGATGCTGCCAAAAGTTCATTGAGGTCATGTTTCTTGTACATGAACTGGAAAATCCACAATGCTTTATTGACACATGATTCACATGATGAAACTAAACTGTCCACGAAACTGCTACCTAAACCACTTCCATCCTCTTGTAGATTCACATCCTCCGCTCTTCAAGTCCGAATGTTCAACCCTAGTGTTTGCGGCATTGCTGATGAGTCAAGTGCTACCCTCTGGTAATTTAACATAGCTATTGAAAATGGCCATTTAGAGTGGATTTTCCCATTAAAAATGGTGATTATCCATAGTTATGTTAGTTTACCAGAGGGTACCCAATCTGTTCTGCCGCAGGCCAGCAGGCGCTACCGGAAGAATTCCCGGACCTTGGTGACGTTGTTCGCTTCCTCCAGCTCTGTCATCTCTTCCTCCTCCAGCTCAATCAGCGCGGAGCCGGCGGAGTCTGCAGGATCGCCCGAAACATCACCCGGGTATCTGGGTTCAAGTGCTGGATATATATATATATATTTATACATATATATATATGTATATATATATATAAATGTGTATATATATATGTATATATATATATGTATATTATATATATATATATGTGTATAAATATATATATATACGATTTATATTGATTTATCCCCAACTTCATGGCTGTTTGACTGGGAAAAATATGCGTTTCTGAAGCATCAAGTTTGGGGATAAGCCATTGACAAAGCCCTCGACTTCAGCCAGTCCCATCTGCTCCGTGCTGGAAGATTTACCAAGCGTTACAACAAAAATGACCCAATTTCGTAGGTTAATGTAGGTTATATATATACATGTATATATATGGTACCCCCCCCCCGCCTGTCTTGTTTCTCTTTTCTTTGTTATCGACCACATACTACCAAAAAGGTAGGTATATAGGGGGGTAGCATATATATATATATATATATATGTATACATATACATACATATATATATACAGATATACATATATACATATTTTAATTAACATATATGCCATGCATGATGAAGCATATATATATATATAATGGAGATTAATGGAGATGGTAAGTGGATAGTAACCACCGTGGCTTATACAGTAACTTGTATAGCCACTCACGTGTGGGACGTACCTCAATGACTGACCTAGTGAATTTACTCGTTGATCGGGATGCACCACCCCCGAATAGGCCCTGAAAAAACTGTTCAGAAAATTTCACAAATGGTTATGTTTTGACCCAACATAGAAAATGATTTAGTGAATCAGAAACCAGGTGCCGGGTCTCAGAGGCCACTGCTGTCACTTTTCAAACATTTTATAAGGGGAGCTGAAAGGGGCAAAAACGAAACTTTGGTTTCATCAACATGTTCATCATGATCATGATCATCATCAGCAGCAGCAGCATCAGCATCATCATCATCATCATCTTCTTCTTCTTCATCTTAATCTTCATGCGTGCAAGTGCCAGAGAACGTACAGCATCGTAGCATGACGTGTGCGCGCAAACGCAAGAAAACGTATAGCAGAGTAGCGTGACCTGTGTGTGTGTGTGCGTGCAAGTCCAAGACAACGTACAGCAGCGTAGCATGACGTTACAGTAGCGTAGCATGATGCGCGCGCGTGTGTGTGTGTGTGTGCGCGCAAGCGCAAGAGAACGTACTCACGTGTGGGACGTACCTCAATGACTGACCTAGTGAATTTACTCGTTGATCGGGATGCACCACCCCCGAATAGGCCCTGAAAAAACTGTTCAGAAAATTTCACAAATGGTTATGTTTTGACCCAACATAGAAAATGATTTAGTGAATCAGAAACCAGGTGCCGGGTCTCAGAGGCCACTGCTGTCACTTTTCAAACATTTTATAAGGGGAGCTGAAAGGGGCAAAAACGAAACTTTGGTTTCATCAACATGTTCATCATGATCATGATCATCATCAGCAGCAGCAGCATCAGCATCATCATCATCATCATCTTCTTCTTCTTCATCTTAATCTTCATGCGTGCAAGTGCCAGAGAACGTACAGCATCGTAGCATGACGTGTGCGCGCAAACGCAAGAAAACGTATAGCAGAGTAGCGTGACCTGTGTGTGTGTGTGCGTGCAAGTCCAAGACAACGTACAGCAGCGTAGCATGACGTTACAGTAGCGTAGCATGATGCGCGCGCGTGTGTGTGTGTGTGTGCGCGCAAGCGCAAGAGAACGTACAGCAAAAGATGTTATTAGCTCACCCCACCCACCCCGTTGATACCCATATGCAAAATGTGACAACAGTCGTGAGCCTCTCAGAGACCCGGCACCAAAAGCAAGTCATGTGAAACTTCTCAAAGATCGATCTTGAGTGGAAGAACATGCACAGAGTCCCCCATTTAAAACGGCAAAGACTTACCCTAGGCCATAGGGCTAACATAGATGTGAAAACCCATGGTTTCCCTAGGGAAATGGTCTACATTCATGGTGATTCTTCCACATCTATATAATCACATCTATGTAAACGTTTACAGGATGGTATCCAAACCAGGTCTACTCTAAATGATGGTAACCTTAAGAATAGTGGCTGAAGAGACCAGCAACCAAAAACAACTGACTTCGCCACCCCAAAAAAAGGGGGTGCAACTGTGCAACGAACCAGAACATTACTGTGGTAAACCATGGTAAACCCAATAATAAACTTTGAGGATTGTCTAAATCAATCTGAATCAGCCATTTCTACGCATTTCTGGTAATAGTCAGGATTCGGGAGGGTTTCTTCTTGGGTTTACCACATTGAAAAAACGATGGACACTGGTAACAGCAGTTGCCCCACCAGATGATTCAAATGTCTCAACCCCCATTCTTCAGAATGGGGGGGGCCTTGTTTTTCGACCAAAATTTTTATTGAGCCTTCATGTGTAAGTTCAACGAACATCTATAAACCATTCGTACATATGGGTATGGGTCAAAATTAGGTACCCCAATAATTGGATGGTTAATAACTAGACATTCACATCTGTGGTCCCACATCGGTCTTCCATTTTGTCCCACATCCATATTAGTACATCCATGGAGGAAAAAAAACCGGTGAAAAATTAACCTCAGCGACACCGTAGGATGCGCCTCCCAGGATGCTGCTGACCTCTAAACAGGCCGCCTGGAGGCGAGGGTTTGCTGCAGCAAAGTGAGAAATGAGGCACCAAAGATTTATGAGAAATGCGTACCCCCAAAAAAATTAAGTCTGTGGTTGCAGGAAGTCCTGGTGCAAAAAAAAAGTCTTTTCGGCCTCATCATCCCAGGTAGTGGAAAAACATGCACAGCCGCCCACAGAGACCGTTCTTCATCCCTCTGTCAACGCCACTCACACCAGAGACAGGACGAATTTCAGGTGATCACAGGTTGAAGCTGGTTGGTGGTTGACCTACCCCTCTGAAAAATATGAAAGTCACTGGGAAGGATGACATCCCATATATTATATATGGAAAATAAAAAATGTTCCAAACCACCAACCAGAAAGAATTTGTCCCCGCAAAAGAGTATCAACCACAAGAGAGTTTCGACAAGTCAGGGATGGTGAAATGTTCCAGCAGAATGGGGAGGGATCCTCTCGAACATCCGAGAAATCGAGAACATATGTCACAACATTGTCACAACCATGTTCTCAAAAGCCTTTCCCAAACCTGATCAACTCCAACAAAACTCAATATTTGGGAATGACGTTCGCATCTGAAAGAACAAATATCCTCATTTTCTGTCGAAAACATGCGACGGGACTGGGATGATTCCATTCATCCATCAATCCGTATGCGACGTGCTTGACACAACTCGGAGCGCCCGATGAGTGGCACCAGTGGCACCTGCAACTTCATCTTGTCTCCGGTCTTGGCACTAGTGACCTACGGCGCGAAAAAGTACAGAGTGGATGCGGTGGATATGCGCTGCGGCCGACCCAAATGGGTTCTTCTGGTTCTTCCCGAGTTCGACGCATGGTCCAATGGTTACCCTTCGGTAAGTGAAGATATGGGAAATAGCCATTAATATACAGATGATTTAGGTAAAACATGGTAAAACATGTGATTTCCAGAACCATTTTTGGTATGCCCGTCGCTGTCAACATGGCAAGCTGGGAATATCCCCTGTAAGTATCACATGGAGCTTTGACTGGGAAAATCATCGGATTTTCATAGGATTTTCATGGGATTTTCCACCTAGCCATGCTTGATTCCCAGAGGGTATAAAGGGAACTCATTGCGGCCCTTTTCCCTCAAAAACATACAGACAGGTCATTGTTCAGCGACAAGGTGACGCTGGGTGCGGGGACATATTTTGCTGAGTGGGATGTATATAAGTGGTCTTTCAAAAATTGGAGTTGGTTGATGATTGTAGAGTGATGTACAGTGTATACTACCCAAGATCTTCTAAATTCCCATAGGAATCACCCAAAAAACCTGAGCCAATCATAGCACAGGATGTTCCAATCGGTTTTTGACTCTGCCCCTGTGAATTCAATGTGATTTATGGCTCAAATCGGCACAGATTGCTCCCAACCACAGTCTTCGGCGCTTTGGATTTTCTGATCAACCCAGAAAAAAGAAAGGGCACTTTCGGTGGCCCAGATATAAGTTGGTATATGAACCCATTAAATGTATCTATATCATTCTATATCACGGTATCCCCACAATCAACCTCCGGTTAATCAAGTTAAAAGTCAACTTAGCCCTTCATTTCTGGTGGATTACCACTGAAATCAAAAAATCACCCAGAAAATCCAGGATTTGACGCGCATCAAACATGGCTGGCTGAAAAAAAAAAACAAAGTTCTTAGTTGGAAAGTGATTTACGGCTTGAGATTTCACACGGGAAAATTTTCCAGCACGCCCTGCTTAGCAAATTGACAGATGTTGACCGGCTGTGGATTCTTGGAATTTTCTGCGAGAATCTGCATCTGCAAAAATCTGACCAGTTGACAATCATTGTGGAGCGTACTTTTTCAATTCATTTTTGATGGCACCCTTCTAGAAATCCGGGAATACTGGCGTTTGGTGAATGGGATACCGGTGCAAAAAATTTCCCAGATTCAATCCTCAGATTCAGGCGGGCTTAAACCCAACCGTAGCATCCCAAGAAAAGAACTCAAAAACCTATTGAAAAACTCTAGTACTTTAACATAGCTTTGGAAAATCACAAAATGTCTAATTAAGTAATTCATCATAATTCATCTATAAATATGTCATGTTCCATAGCTATGTTAAATTACCGGTGGGCACTTCTAAACATATGTCGTTTCATATGTCCCATGTCCATCCATGTCCCCCTCGTCGGATTCGACCTTTGAAATGGCCGCTGCCAAAGTTGGCCAATCTTGGCCCTGGCCGGCAGTGCGATGCCTTTCATCGCCAAAAACAAGGTTTTGTATGGGATGATATAGACTATAAATTATCAGATGATATGGGTATGGATCAATACCTATACATACCATTTTTAGTGGGATGAACATCCATTTACCAGCTATTTTGGGGTTCACTAGGTACCAGGGTTTTGACCCATCCCCATATTGTTTAGTAAGTTTAGTATACCCAAAACAAATATTTGGTATCATCCCACGAACTGTTCATTTCGGGTACTATGAATTATCACATTTTAGGACTAGGGGACGATATAGACGATCACTCCTGGATGAAGGATGAATGTTGACCCCTGGTTCTTTGCCGTCCCGCTTGAGGGGAGTTCCACATCAAATCATGCAGGTGTTAATCCGGGGTTGACACTCCTGTGCGAACATGGAATGTTCGGTCACTTTGGGCTGGTCCCCTTATGAAATTCACCATCTTGTATGAGGTTGCTTTGAGGAAATCGTAATCTACACATATCCATTGCCTGTTCGATGTGAAAACCTTAACAACTTAAACGGACATCTGCGGTTTTTCTTGGGGTCATGTTTGTTGCTTCAGTAACCATTCTATCAACTACCCGGGATTTTGGGAATCGCCGGACTCGCCCAACTGTTTTTCGCCTTGTTTGCCACGCTTTCGACCTGCACTGTGGAAAGGGCAGAAGAAATTGATGTCAAAGATCATCCGTTTGTATATACCTGTACGTTTGTACTTATATATATATATGTATATATATATAATTATATATATATATATACCAAATCATATACTTACATTTTATAATTCTATATTTATCTTGGTGTGTTAATCAACCAATAACGGAGATTGATAACCTCCAAAATTAGGCTTAAAACCGGATGCCAAACATAAATGGACATATTTGTCATCCCTTACCCCTGATTCCCTGATACCCCACGACCAAGCCCATCTCTCACGCTTTGGTTGTTGAAACCCCTAATTCATACTGATTGGAACTTGGAAGATGTAGATATGAATTACCAAGAGTGTGGAAAGAATGTTCTCCATTTTTGGGGTACCTTCTCACAATCAAACTTTGCAACATAACAACTCCGATTTGCAGGTGATCTTGCTATTGACAATCTTGTGTTCTATTGCCAGACTAACTAAGTTTTGCTGGTTCGTTCCCATTTTTTAGGCTCTCACATTTAGGGCTAGGAATATCCAAGGTCGGATCCCCATCTGTTCGGACAACTCTTCCAAACCACACCAGATCTGTGAAAACTATTGCCGTAAGTAGTATTCCAACAGGCACTCTGATAAAACTTGGACAGTGATGAGTTGAGCCGCCAAGGAAATGGATGGAAATGGGATCAGCCAAAGCCAAAGATCAAATGGTGTCTTAAGCGTTTTCATAGTATGATCTATTTTATAGATCCAGAAAAAGCTATGATCATAAAGCCAAAGTCTATTAGATCAGCGTTTTGATATTGAGGTTGGACCCAGAATACCCCGACAGACCGCAGATCATCCAAAAAGTTCCAGTCAGAAGCCATCCCAACCCATCAGAAATGGATGGGGTTTACCGCAATTGCTTCATCCTAGACATTACAACATATTATACTCATATTACAAACATATGTTGGGACTTAAAACATCTTAAAACTCAACTATTGATGACTATTCTACTTTCGAAACAGGACACAAAAAAGACCCATTCAGAACCAGCGGAGGCGCCTGAGTTTTGGTCACGGACATTTTACAGGGCGCCAGGTTCAAGTTCACAAGGTCCGCAGTGGTGGCCAGAATGTCACTGCCCTGAAGATCAAAGGACGGCCGTCGGCAGTTCGATCGTTACCAATTTCTAGACCTCGAATCACCTGGGAAGTAGTTGAATAACCTGTGGTAATAGTAACGATTTCCAGTAGTAACCAGGTTAAACCAGCAAATAGTTAATTACTATTGGAAATAATTTTCGAACCTTAGATACCCATGGTTTGTCTCCTTACTCTCGGGCATTTTCGGGCCCAGGTAAGAAATCTCTGACTGCTACTAGCTGCTGGATGTGTCCCTGATCTTTGCGCGTCAAACTATAAAATCTTCATCGGTGAATTCCTCATGTTCCGAACGGTAAAACCATCAATTTGAGGCTTCTGCTGTCGGGTCTTTGGGTAGATTCTGCTGTCAAAATCTCTCAGAATCGAATTGAAAAAGCGACCATCCGGTAATTTCAACACTTTCCGAACTGGAAAATCACCCTCTGGTAAACTAACATAACTATGGAAAATCACCATTTTTAATGGGAAAATTATCAGAGGGTACCAACTTTCATAGCTTCAACGAACGTTTCTGTCATAGTTCAGATCCGCGAAGACTCCACCTCTAAGTCACTGAAACTGCAGCGCAAGTCCTGGAGTCGATGATTTCGGCTGGGCAAGTCATACTACTTCCTAAAGATGATAAATGATGAATTAAAAGAAAACAAACTAGCATGAACATGGGACTTATAAAGATGATAAATGATGATAATGTGGTAAACCCAATAACAAAAAGAAAAAAAACTACCATGAACATGGGATTCACTATGGAATCTATGAAACTGGGGGCATAAAACTATATAAAACTAACAATAATAGGAATATGATGGAATTGCAATGAGAAATATGAATGGGATGTATAATCAACTTGAATTGATGCTTCTGTGTGTGTGTGTCTGGAAATGGGATATGGGCCTCCCAATTTATGGCTGTTTTCATGCGGCCCACATGCTGATGATCCACGGGAATCGAGGTGCCATGTTTTCAGAAAAGGACCATAAATATATATATATTATATATATATATTATATTATATATATTATATATATAATATATATTATATATATATGTATTATATTATATATTATATATATATATATTATATATATTATATATTATATATATTATATTATATATTATATATATATATTATATATTATATATATATATTATATATATTATATATTATATATATATATATTATATTATATATATATATATTATATATATCGGAAATCATATGATTTTGGGTGAATCACCCAAATTACCCACTATCATTGCCATTATTCATGATTAGGTCGCTACAATTTACCTATCTCCATGACTTCCCAACTATGGCTGCTTCGCTTCGTGGCTGCCAATCTCACCCCCATTTAGGTGCCTAGCGGTGCACGTGTATCTGCGTGGCATATGGGTTTCTCTGAAAATTGGCGACCATCAAAATCTGATAATATGGGATATGCATAGTTGATTATATATCTATATATACCATCTGGTTATCTAACATAGCCATGGAAAATCTCTCATAAATGGAGGTTTTACTGGGAAAATCATCTATTTCTATGGGCCATTTCCATGGCTATGTTAAATAACCAGAGGGTACCAGCAAAATCCAGGGGTGCCATTCAGTGCCCTTTTTATAACCGCGGTTGGTTTTTTTCGGTATCACGGTATCACCCATTGTCAGAGACACCTAAATCAATGATAATTCAATAGTTCTTGTTTCACGGTCAAAACCCATGTATGTAGGAAAATCAATCGTCCTAAATGGAGGTTAAACAATTTTTTGATAAACAGTCGTCCCACTTTTCATGGTCAATCCGATATCCAATGAGATTCCCATTGATATCAACAAAAATCCCATGAAAGCGCATGAAAATCCCATGGCAATCCCATCAAATTCCCATGATGTTCCCATTTTTTGCCCCATTAAACCCACTAAATCACATGAAATCCCTATTTCTTCCTGGTTAAGCCATGAAAAAATGTGAAAAAAAAATGAAAAAAAGCCCATTGATTTGCTCCCAAAAAAAAAGAGACGAGCCGCTGGACCACTATAGCCTCCAACGCTCACCTCAACGGATTGCCGGCTGTCGTGGCTGGAACATCCACCATAGTTCGATGACTTCCCCCCGAGTTACCCTCTGGTAAACTAACATAGCTATGGAAAATCACCATTTTTCATGGGAAAATCCACTATAAATGGTCATTTTCAATAGCTATGTTAAATTACCAGAGGGTACCCTGACTTTACTTCGGGGACTTCATGGATTTCACCAAGTGGGGCAGAACAACCAGAGATCAAAAAAAAATTGTGGCTTTTTGGCCACTGAAATACTGCTAAAACCGCCAAAAACATCCAAGAACCAGGATTCAACCACCGCTTTGTCACAACGATGAATCTAAAGTTACTCTCCATGGGAGTCCTGCGAAGTTTGGAATAGAGTACCAAAAAAATCCCGCAGTTAAGCCGGGGTAAAGCAACAAACACGGTACAACCAGCAAATGTCGGGACTTTGCGAATTGACCAGCGCAAGGAGTGGTTCTGTAAACAAAGAAAGGGGAATGCGTACTGAACTAGAACAAGAATGAGGCTATCTGAATGAAAATTTGCGCAGCATATCCAAAATGCTTCAACCCATCGTGCTGCCGTTGAAATCAACCAAAGCTGCCAGTGGACCCCAGAAATCCGGTAGGAAAAAAACCCATGAATGGCGATGGCTAAAACATCTCAAAAACAGACATGGAATTTGGAGGTTTCCATGGGGATTTCATGGGGTTTCCCATATGCAAAAATTAATTTTCCATGGGGGAAACCCCATATGTTCATCTATTTTCCCATTGTCTTCCCAGATGTTTTCCCAAAACGTTTTCCCCATGTCTTCCCATGGTTTTCCTCCAAAAACCAAGGTGCAGTCCCTGAGCAGTCCATGGCAGGTGCTTGTGGCAGACCCTGAGATTGGCATCCCATTGGAAACATGGTGACTTTTTCATCCCAAGTAATCGTTGATGGGGTATACCCTCTGGTAAACTAACGTAACTATGCAAAATCACAATTTTTAATGGGTAAATCAACTGTTTCGACTGGGCCATTTTCAATAGCTATATTTGTTTACCAGAGGGTAACTGAGGGTATAATGTCAACCCTGGATTAATAAACCCCAAGCGGCTGCTGTTTTTTTGGGAGGGTACCATAAAAAAGTATCATATGATGACTATTGGAGGAGTACCCCCTAATTAATAAACCATGGTTTATTTATCCGGGGTTGACATTAACTGAAATTATAATGGGGGTATAGCCATTCATATAATACTGTATCCCTTCAATAATCCAGGATATAACCCATGAATCGAAAACTGGTGACATAACATAGTATAACTGAAATGAAAACACCCAGAAAAAATACTAAGTGGGGCCCGCATCCCCATGTCATGTTGGAAAGTCACGTAATCCAGAAATCCTAGAGAAATACAAGAGAGAAAAAGAAAAGACATGAGAAAAAAAACTCAGATAGTTCGCAAATCCTAGAAAAATACCTGAAAAGTCATGTAATCTTGGAAACCCTGGCCATAAACAACTGCCATGGCTATGTTTGAATCCCCCCCATCAGATGGTGACTTGGGGATGGTTAGTAAACATGGCGTTGGGTTGATCACATCAAAAATGTCTTTGATGTGTATCTACACACACACACATAATCAAGATATATATATATATATGGAGGTTTCCATAAATGGTGGTATCCCAAAATGGATGGTTTATAAATGGTTTTGCTGATTGTATCTATCTATCTATCTATCTATCTATCTATATATATATACACTGGTTGGTGGTTGACCTACCCCTCTGAAAAATGATGGAGTTCGTCAATGGGGTTGGGATGACATCCCATATATGAAATGAAAAATAATTCAAATGTTCCAAACCACCAACCAGTATATATAATGTGTTATAAGTCCATAATATTCCAGACTAGAACTCCATGTGGATCGCAAAAGAGGCAAAAAGCAAAGCAGAGCATCATCCGGCTACCCCCCAGCTGTAGATCCATGAAATCCATGTGATTTCCTTCGACCGTGGCATCCCAAAAAAATGGTGATCGTGAAATCCCCATTCCTATTTGTTATGCCAAAATTGCTGATGTTCCTTGGTAAAATATCATAAAATATCTGTGTTTCCTGAAGAAATGAGGCCATTTGCTTTCGTGATATCCCCAATTTCCTCGTGCTTGGTGAAAGCACCCCCTGTTGCGAAGATGATGCTGGAAATCACCGGCCATCCATTTTCAAGTCTCACGTTGCCCTTCAAAAAGTCTATTAACACAATCCGCAAATGCGGGTTTTTGAGTCGCATCCTGAATGATCCCCCCCTTTTTCGGCTTAAGTCTCATCCATAATCATAATCTTGGATATGGGAAGTCCAAAAATAAAACCTCGTCCTTTCATCGATTCCCCAGTCATGGTGGAATTCTTCGGAAAATCAGTCTGGAAAATCAAAAAAAACCTTTTCCGCAAATCCAAGAAATCCATAGAAAATCATCAAAACGGTTTTTTAACGTAGCCATGGAAAATCACCATTTATAATAGGTAACCATCTATAAATGGGCCATTTTCCATGGCTATGTTAAATAACCAGAGGGTATCCCATATTATCCCATATTATCCCATCATCATATCCGGTTATATCATTTATATCCCCATATCATGATTGGTCCAATCCCACGCCCGCCTCATAAAACTTCTTGAGATCCTCCGGCTCCGTTCCTTTCAACACACGCAGCGCCATGTGGCGAAAGCTGCTTTCCAACAAGTTCCTGCGTCCAAGGTTTGGCATTGGGATTGAACGATTTAACCATCAAAAATATGGTTTTGACCATCAAAAATGTGGCTTTAACAACGGTGTTGAAGCCAGCATTTTTTTTTCCGTGCATGGTAAAGCCAATCACAAACCTGCCACTTTTGGAGGATGATGTTAATCCGACCCATGTCTGGTGTCAGCGGTTTCACAGAAAAGTCACATCTTAGCCAGGGCGCGAAGCCTTGGCAACGCCTAATAATCATCTTGCAAAGCCAGAACTCAATAGCCATTTCAGGTCTCTAAAATGGAGGTACTGTACCTCATTTTAGGTCCTATTTTACATATGTCAGGAGATTCCCTGAAAGGAAAAAAACAGGGGTTCTACGTTCACCCTGAAGCGAATACAGTACGCAATCCCTATGGATTGGTGCTGAAGTCTTGTTTTTGTTCTTGCTGAACTCACCGTCTTCTGTGGCCCCAATTTCTCGCACCTGATAGTGCGTCCATTGCCATTGGACCTCAGGTAGATCTCCCCCAACAAAAAATGGGGATATAAACCAACTTCAATTCATGCCAGAATTAGATGGAACGTAAAAAATCCGCAACCAGCGACAGTACCAGGGCTTTGGGCTCAAAAAGACATGCGAAAACTCTTTGCTCAATCTGCGTGGAATGATGTGGAATGTCTAGAAGTTATGTTGCAGATACACAGTATACATAACTCCAAGAGTACTATTGTCCATTGATGCCCCAAAAAATTGTCCACAGAAGGCCGCGGGGCGGAAACATGCTCAAACCACCAGCAGTTCATGCACCCGCGTTCTTTCGGGTGCCCAAACAGAAACAGGGGACTGTCTAACTCCACCAATCTATGGTCTAATTCAAGTAAATAAATAATGCAGTAATGGATAAAATATATGCATATTATTGCATATTCATGCATATCATGTAGTGTATATTATGTAGTGTATATTATATATTAGTATAAATGTAATATATTTGATATAATATGTAAACTAATGTAAAATATATACATGGAGCATAGACCATGGACCACGGGCGTCAAGTGTCTAGAACAGCATGGCGAACAGGTTGCAGATGTCTTTTTTGGCTCTACATTGCGACTCAGCCCGGAGATGAAATAAAGACGGAATTGTTCACACTGCCTAAAACAATTGCTTCCACACAACTGCCCCGGCGTCACTTCCGAGAAGCACTGTATGAGCACCTGCGGCAAGCTGGGTGTATCTCACTTTCCGATTCAAAGGTGGAATGTTGCATCGTCCCAAAGCATGGCATCCGCAAGCAACAGCAGGGCCATCACTTCGGAGAAGCACTGTATGAGTTCCACCTGCAAAAACCTGGGTGTATGTAATGCCCTCATTCAAGGGTGGAATGTCGCATTGCCCGTCCGCAGTATTTCCGCACGCAACAGCACGGCCATCACTTCCGAGAAGCACTGTATGCTTATGACCTGCAGAAACTTGGGTGTATCTGTGTGAAACTTTTGAGTGAACTACCCCCAAACGAGCAGCGCACATGGACAGGCACTAAACAAGTCAGTGCCCTCACCCAATCCACAGGGCACAAACTTGGGTGTATCTGATACCCTCATCCAAGGGTGGAATGTCCGAAATCATTCCATCCGCAGGCATCAGCACTGCCGTCACTTCGGATGCCAGTACGGTGTGACGATAGCCTGCAGAAACCTGTGTGTATGTCAAATCCTCATGAGAAAAAAGGAATGTTGCACCGTCCGTCACGATTCTCCCCACGTGCTCAGCTGCTGTGTTGCACGGCCATCACGAACCGGAGAAACGCAGTGTCAACAGCTTGGCCGTCGCTGCGGAGAAGCACCGTGTCACACCGGTGCCTGCCGAAACCATTGAAGAAATCGATTGTAGCTAGCGCAGCACTGGGGAGGATAAATTCCATATGTGTGTGTGTGTATATATATATAAAGCTTGGCTTTGCGGCGTCCCAAAAAAAAAATCTTCCCTATGGATTCCCCACGGTGGATTTACCATTGGGGCAATCAAAAATCATCAGCAAATCCAAGATAGTGAATACAAGGTTTGCAAAACCCCTTTTGAGCCAGAATCACCGCATCCCGCTTTTGGTTCTACTTTTGTCCGTCAGCAAGGTTATCGCTTTCAAAATGGGTGTATGTTCAAATTGGGGGTACCTTTAACCACTGGGTTTTACCACAAAAATGAACTAAATTTTAAATTAGGATGATTTCGGGGTACCCCGGTTTAAGAAAGCACAACATCAAAATGCTTGGGAGTTGTCCTTTCAATGAAAAGAAAGAAACAAGAAAGGAAAGTGGCATCAGTTGGCGGTATGTGGAAATTCCCTACTAAACCATGGTTTCTGAAGGAGTGTTTAATATTAGGGGGATGGGATTATACTGTATAGTGGTCCGTTGTTTTGTGTCTATAGCTCTTTACAGGATACGCTTAACTTATTTTGTTGTTTTTGTTTGTTGGGGGTGCTTTGGATTTTACTTTTGGGCTAGGCATGGGTTCTGATCTGCTACCGTGATTTTGTTCTGTGGGTGATTGCTGTGTTTTTGCTGGTGTGGGTGTGCTCTACGTTGTAGTCTGTTGTTTTTTGCTGTATATGCTGGTGTTTTTTGGGTGTTTTGTTGGTGCTGAATGTTGTTGTTTTGTTGTTGTTTGTGAGTATTTTTGTGCATATGCTTATATGATCTTATATGATCTTTTATGTATGCTGGTGGGGTGTTGTCTGCTGGTTTTCTTCTGTTGTCTGCTGGTTGATTTTAATGTGCATGTCTGTTGGTCCAGGGGGGTTCAACCGGGAAGTGCGGAAATGTGAATGGGGTGGTGGTGTGAACTGTAATCAGATTAGTAATCCACAAGTGGGGATTTCCATAAATGGGGTTACCCAAAATGTCTGGTTTATAATGGAAGATCCTATTGAAATGGATGATGACTGGGGGTACCCCCATGACTTAGGAAACCTCCAAGTGGATTGGTGAGCTGATTGGTTATATGTGGTTATATCATACCCATTTTTCTCAGGTATTCTACCCTCTGCTTCACCTTGCGAATCTTGAGATTCCAACGTCCCTAAATGGTGAGGTTCCAACATACCCAAGGAGCCCCAACAAGATCGAACACTGCTAAGATATGGTTCCCTCTTTGATGTTTCTGTTATGTAACACGCTAAAATATTAACTTCCCTCTTTGATGTTCGGTTTTTATGTCAGGTCTTAAAAATACCATAGAAATCTTTTTAAGACCATCCCCAGATATTTCCATAAATGGTACCCAAAATGTCTGGTTTTTCATGGATGATGACTGGGGGTACCATGACTTAGGAAACCTCCATCTTTTTTCAAGGGGCCGATCGCTCGAGGCCGCCGTTTCCTCGGTGGCGGGGCCAGGGCCGTGATGTGAACGTTGGTTGATAACCAGAGATGGCTGAAAATAGCTACATCTGGTAAGATAGCTAAGTTGGTTTAAGATAGCTAAGTTGGTTTAAGATAGCTAAGTTGGTTTAAGATAGTTAAGTTTGTTTATAACCCCATCTAACTATGGTTATAACTACCATAAACCCAACAGTTGTTGTAGTTATAAACGCAGCAACTGAACGCTATCGAACGGGGGCCCCACATTGTAGGCTTTAAACATCTTCGCTGCAAACCCTAGGTTTGCCCGCGGCGAATCCCGCATATCCTTTGACATGCTCAAATCTCTGCGTAGGGTTTTAACTTTTTATTCTCCAAAACAGCAAAACCTAAAACCCTAAAACCTAAAACCCAGAATTAAAACCCTAAATCCTGAAAACTTAAAGTCAAAATCACTGCGTATAGTCAGTGGTTTCATTTATCTTGTGGTTGTAAGTATATCATATTGTTTGGATGTGTTCTTTGAGTGTGAGCAAACCCGGGGTTTGGAAGGAACATCTTTGCCGGGCAGATGTTGGGGGGGATGATCCTGGTGAACTCTCCGAAAATTAAACAACAACCGGATTGATTTTCACAAACCAACTTAGCCTCTGGTAAACTAACATGGCTACTGAAAATGGCCATTTATAGTGAGTTTTCCCATTAAAAATGATGATTTTCCATTGCTATGTTAATTTACCAGAGGGTAGCTATGATTTTGGGGACTGATAATCTTACTGGTGCTTAGTAGGGAATGGATGGGTTGCTGGGTGTTGCTGGGATGATTATTACTAGTGATGAAATGGATCATTCCCGAAAATTCCCTGCGTTTAGCTTGGAGCAAAAATCTGTAAGACGAGCTGCGCACTCTTCCTTGTCCTCCTTGTCGCAGCATTTGGTCATCCTGGGCGACGATTTCGACGATTCGACGGCCGATCTCAGGCGATTTATTTTGTTTTCCAAAGAAATCCTGTGGATATGAAAACATGCGGATATACACATATTATATAGATACACAGTTGTACATGTGTATTTGTACATATATATATATATATTTGTACATACATATTTGTACATACATATTTGTAGATACATATTTGTACATATATATATATGTACATACATATTTGTACATACATATTTGAACATACATATGTGTACATACATATTTGTACATACATATTTGTACATATATATATATATATATATATATGTGTACATATATATATATATATATTTGTACATATATATATATTTGTATATAGTACATTGTACATACGCAAATATATATCTATGCCTAATTATATGCATACGTCCATACACACATGTTTGGAAAACTGGCATTGTCCATCAGGTGGGCCCCAGATACTATCAGATACTCAGATACTGAACTCTTAGGGATAGGCCCGGAAGAGTAGTCACTGGCTAATCTCATGGCTAATCAAGAAACTATCAGCCACTAACCTCATGGATAATCATCATCTAGAACTATCAGAGACTATCTACAGGAAGACATCAGCTACCCCGTGGTTTCACCACCCGACTCTAACGGACCGAGTGGCAGCTGCGCACTTTTGCGCAACCAAAATTCGCCCTGGCGCTGTGACAGATATCAGATGAGCAGAGATTGAGAAAATGTGAGAAACGTATATCGCAGACATTTTCGCAGACTATGCCATTTCAAAAAAAAAAACGTTGGAACCCATGAAAAATTCCTACTTGTTGATGGTGAAAAACCTCCATTTTCCCCAAGTTTTTTGTTGACACCAGTTACATCGCGTTTTCCCCATCCAAGGCGAAGCTTCGTAAAAAAAGCCCCGCAGCCATCCCCAAAAAGTTCCCCGCGCGCGTTCTTCAACTTCAGACTCTTGGACTTCAGCTGCAGCTCCCCAATCCTGCTGGACGGGACGTTTTTAAAAAATCTGAAGAAAACCATGGTGTTACGATGGAATCCATGGGGATTTCAGTGGTGAAGAGTAAAATGGGGCTTTAAATGATTTATATACATATGTATATGTATATATATATATATCTGTCAAAAAGTGAGAAACACTTTTTCAGAAACAAAGACTGTCCCGAATCAGGAGTCAAATGGAAAAAAAAAAAGCAACTGCTTTCAATCCCTTTTTCACGCAACAGCACAAAAAAGGAAATAAAAATCCCTCAAAAATTGTACCCCCTAGCAACCCAATGACAACTAGGATTTACGGGATAGAAAAAGGCAAAATCAACAGTGGTTACATTTGGATGGACCAGTGATGGAAGCCAAAGATGCGGCAGAAAATGTGAACCTTCCAACGACAGCTAACTTGCTAATAATTTGAAGACCTTGATGTAGGTTTAGATGTTATATATAATATTGACAGGGAGAGAGAGAGAGAGACATAGATAGATAGATAGATAAAGCTGGGATAAGATAAGATTGGATTGGATTAGACAGGTAGATGGATGGATCGATGGACAGATGGATAGATGATGATAGATGGATAGATAGATTTCGCTACAGATACGAAAATGCTCTACATATCTATGTACTCACATGGAGTGAGCGTCGAATCAGAGCCAGGCCGCTTGGTGAGTTCAGGGCAGGTGTAGTCGGCAAAATTGAAGGAAAATGGCACGCGCGACCTGGGAGCAACAAAGGTTATAACATGTAAATATGATGTATACATAAGGGTTGTTCACATGTGTATATATATATATTACTATTACTATTACTATTATATCTATACATATATAGATACATATAAGGAATGATTTGTGATGATGAGCAACTGGACGAGGCACTGAAAGCCCGGGTTGGAATTGAAGAAGTCATCCATCTCCTCAAAGCCGGCGGTGCATTGCAGGAGTCCAGTGGGGAAGAACCATACGAAATATCAATGGCCATTCAGGAACCGATTTATTGGAGGTACCTACCATATAAGGGTTAAATTTCAGGGAATATCCCAATAATTTTTTTTGGCCAAAAATATGGTACTAACGTACCTCCATTTTAGAATACTGAAATTCCTATTGAAAATATCCCAGTTAGACAAAAAATGGTCGGTCTGAAGATAGGGTACCCATTGTGAAGCACATTGGTACCCCATGGTACCCCATTCCATCCTCGGGTGTTTCTTCGTTTTCCCCATAAAAATATCGCCAGTTTGAAGGTAGGGCCCCCAGTTTCTGGGACATATGGGACCTGCAGGGGGCAGACCCAGCAGGGTTCATTTTGTTCACCCTCAGGGACTGCTCATGCTTGAAAATATGACAAAACCATCGTCCATCAGGACAAAAAATGCTGGAATTGGATGGAATTGGCTGAAATAGGCTGAAAGTCACGCACCAAGAAATCGTTCTTCCGAACGCACGGAGAAAGTAACTGGTGATCATAGCCCTGGTACGTAAGTAAGTCCCCGAATCGTGACTTATCAAATGTGGGGCCCCCTTCTACGTGATGTTTGTTGGTTTACAACCCCAACTATGGTTATAACATGTTATAACTACCATAAACCTATGGTTTTAACTACCATAAACCC